GAGATGGGGGAGGAGGGGGAGTGCTGGGCGGGGGAAAGGTTGCGGGGAAGCTTGGGGGAGAGGGGCATGAAGGGGGAGCGCTGGGCGGCGGAGGGGGAGGAGGAGGGGGAGTGGGCGGAGGTGGGGGGGGAGGAGCAGGGGGAGGGAGGACGGGCGCAAGGAGGAGGCTGCGGAAGGTGCTGAGTGCGGATTGGGGGAGCACGTCACTGGACGACCTGCTGGGCGGCAAGGGCTTGGCAGCTAGCGCCAGCACCAACCTTTCATCGTCTTCCAGCCAGCCAACCCGTCCGTCCACTGCTGCTGGCAACACTGCTGGCAACGCTGCTGCCAATGCTGCTGGCAATGCTGCTGGCAACGCTGCTGGCCTATCTGGCTCTGGCACTCCTATCCCTGGCCACCTCTCCACTCACTCCCACTCCTCCACCCCTCCCCGAAGCACCTCCTCCGCTGCAGCCTCCCCGTCCCCTTCATCCGCCCTCCTCCCGCCCTCCTCCTCCTCCCTCCTCACCCACCGCCCTGACAGCGCCGGCTCCTCCTCTTCCTCGCGCCGCTCCCGCAGCGCCGGCATGACTCTGGTTGACTTTGCAGGAATCACTGCGCCCTCGCCTGTAGCAGAGCCTATCGCGGCGCCTGTAGTGGTGGGGACTGTAGCGGGCCTTGTAGCAGAGCCTGTAGCGGGGGCTGTTGCAGGGTCTGCGGAGGGGGGGAGGGGTGGGGGATGGTGCGGAGTGGTAGTCAGGGGCTGGGGCAGCACGGGCGGGAGAGTGCACTGGGGAGCAGGGAGCGGATGAGCTTTGGGGAGGCGGGGATATTGTGGAGGAGAGGGAGTGGGAGAGGGAGAGTGAGGGGGCGGGGGAGGGGGAGAGAGAGAGGGAGAGGGAAGGAAAGGATGAGCGTGATGTGTGGGAAGCGCTACAGGCACGCAGTGCGCTGGGTGGTGGTACTGCTGCCAGTGCTGCTGCTGATGGTGATGGCACCGCTGCTGCTCCTCCTGTTAGTCGTAATGGTGGTGCTGCTGATGATGACGCTACTGCTGGTGAGCGTGAGGGAGCGGACGATGCTGATCCTGCCCCTGTGGCAGCAGGGTGCGAGATTGGCCGCAGTGTGGGGGGGAGGGGGGCACCAGGGGAGGCGTCACTGCGTGTGTGGCACAGTGGGGGGGAGGGGAGGGCGGAGGGCAGGGGAGAGGGAAGGGGGGCGGAACGGACAGTGGACGGGGCAGTTAGGCTGGAAGGGGTTAGAGAAGGGAGGGTGGGGGAGGAGAGAGGAACAGAGGCAGTAACAAGGCCGCCACTGTTACCAGTAACCGCTGCTGCTGCTGCTGCTGCTGCTGCTGCTGCTGCTGGCGCAGGTGTTTTGGGAGTGGTAGGAGCAGCAGGAGCAGCAGAGCGAGAGGGTTCAGGTGCAACAGGCGCAGTGGTGGGAGCAGAGCAGGAGCAGTCAGGAGAGGAGGTTGAGGGGCCGAGCACGCCTAGAGGTATGGGAGAGGGCAGAGCAACAGGGCGAGCAGGGAAGAGCAGAGCAGCAGCGCAAAGAGGGGAATCGGGAGGGGGTGAGAAGGGTGGTGGGGAGGGACAGGGCAGCATAGAGCAGGTTGCAGGAGGGGCAGGAGAAGGGGGAGGAGGAGGGGCAGGGATAACCGTGGAGGGGAGTGGGGCCGAAGGCATTCTCACGACAACAAGCACGGGTGGGTCCAGCCAAGCAGCAGAGCAGAGGCAGAGCATTCTGCAGGCCTACATGCAGAGGAAAGCTTCAATGGAAAGAACCCCACTGCTGAACAAGTGTGGGCTTGGATTCTAGGGCATGATGATGATGAGGAGGGAGATGGGGGGGTGGACGGGAGAGGAGAGGGAGGAGGGGATGCGAGGGGAGGCGCAGGCGGTGGGAGTGAGAAGGGGAGTAGGGGGAGCAGGGGGAGCAGGGGGAGTAGGGGGAGCAGCGGAGGGGTGGAGAGGGATGGGGGGGAGGGTGGAGGAGGGGGGCCGGGGAAGGGAGAGGGAGGAGATGGGGTGGAGGAGAGTGGGAAGGAGGAGGAGGGCAAGGCGGGCGAGGAGGGCGAAGGGGGAGAGGAGGAGGGAGCGCAGAAGGCGCAGTTGACGGTTGATCCGGTGGTGGCAGCCAGGCTTGGTGTTACAGTAGAGCGTGTTGCTGACTGGCTGTGGACGCTGCACAAGATATGTGAGTAGAGCCTGACAAGGTAGGTGAGTGGAGTAGTGTAGGAGGTAGGAGGGCAGAAGGCGCAGTTGACGGTTGATCCGGTGGTGGCAGCCAGGCTTGGTGTTACAGTAGAGCGTGTTGCTGACTGGCTGTGGACGCTGCACAAGATATGTGAGTAGAGCCTGACAAGGTAGGTGAGTGGAGTAGTGTAGGAGGTAGGAGGGCAGAAGGCGCAGTTGACGGTTGATCTGGTGGTGGCAGCCAGGCTGGGTGTCACAGTGGAGCGTGTCGCTAACTGGCTGTGGACTCTTCATAAGATATGTGAGTAGAGCTGCACAAAGGGTGTGAGTTGAGTAGCGCAGGATGTGTGAGTGCAGAAGAGAAAGACGGCTTTTTAGTCGACTCAAAATCTACTCAGGCTGGGTGTCACAGTGGAGCGTGTTGCTGACTGGCTGTGGACTCTCCATAAGATATGTGAGTGCAGTGCAGCCCCCTAAGGTGTCTAGTTTTGAGTGCAGCCCCCTCAGGTGTCTAGTTTTGAGTGCAGCCCCCTAAGGTGTCTAGTTTTGAGTGCAGCCCCCTAAGGTGTCTAGTTTTGAGTGCAGCCCCCTAAGGTGTCTAGTTTTGAGTGCAGCCCCCTAAGGTGTCTAGTTTTGAGTGCAGCCCCCTAAGGTGTCTAGTTTTGAGTGCAGCCCCCTAAGGTGTCTAGTTTTGAGTGCAGCCCCTAAGGTGTCTAGTTTTGAGTGCAGCCCCCTAAGGTGTCTAGTTTTGAGTGCAGCCCCTAAGGTGTCTAGTTTTGAGTGCAGCCCCCTAAGGTGTCTAGTTTTGAGTGCAGCCCCCTAAGGTGTCTAGTTTTGAGTGCAGCCCCCTAAGGTGTCTAGTTTTGAGTGCAGCCCCCTAAGGTGTCTAGTTTTTAGTGCAGCCCCCTAAGGTGTCTAGTTTTGAGTGCAGCCCCCTAAGGTGTCTAGTTTTGAGTGCAGCCCCCTAAGGTGTCTAGTTTTGAGTGCAGCCCCCTAAGGTGTCTAGTTTTGAGTGCAGCCCCCTAAGGTGTCTAGTTTTGAGTGCAGCCCCCTAAGGTTTCTAGTTTTGAGTGCAGCCCCCTAAGGTGTCTAGTTTTGAGTGCAGCCCCCTAAGGTGTCTAGTTTTGAGTGCAGCCCCCTAAGGTGTGGTGTGTGGGTAGAGTAGAGCATGTGAGTCGCCTCAGGTAGTATGCAGCAGAGGGAGATGATTTCTGAGTCGCCTCAGGCTGGGTGTCACGCACGGTGGAGCGTGTTGCTGAGCTGACTGGCTGTGGACTCATCTGAATGCTTCCCTTCTCTCCTATTCCGTCCCCTCCCCTCACCAGCGGTGGACGTGGAGCGGACTGACACACACATGGCGTTCTGTCAAGTGGAGAGGAACCGCGCCACCATGTTTTGCCTTCCCAAGGTTTAAAGCCCGAAACACTCTGTTATTATGTGACTGTGTCTCTCCTTGCTCCCCTCACCAGCGGTGGATGTGGAGCGCTCGGACATACACATGGCGTTCTACCAGGCGGAGAGGAACCGCGCCACCATGTGTTGTCTTCCCTAAGTTTAAAGCCCGAAACACTCTGTTATCATGTGACTGTGTCTCTCCTTGCTCTCTTCACCAGCCGTGGATGTGGAGCGCACAGACACACACATGGCGTTCTACCAGGCGGAGAGGAACCGCGCCACCATGTGTGACATCCTGGCTGTGCATGCCTGGATCGACCCTGCTACTGGCTTCTGTCAAGGTGCGTCTTGATAGCAGCAGCATGTGTGAGGCACAGCAGCAGGCCATAACATGCAGTTACACAGGCTGTAGGTTGCTGCAGTCTGGCAGACAGAGAGAAGGCGGAGAGGAGAGGAACCGCGCCACCATGTGTGACATCCTGGCTGTGCATGCCTGGATCGACCCTGCTACTGGCTTCTGTCAAGGTGCGTCTTGATAGCAGCAGCATGTGTGAGGCACAGCAGGCCATAACATGCAGTTACACAGGCTGTAGGTTGCTGCAGTCTGGCAGACAGAGAGAAGGCGGAGAGGAGAGGAACCGCGCCACCATGTGTGACATCCTGGCTGTGCATGCCTGGATCGACCCTGCTACTGGATTCTGTCAAGGTGCGTCTTGATAGCAGCAGCATGTGTGAGGCACAGCAGGCCATAACATGCAGTTACACAGGCTGTAGGTTGCTGCAGTCTGGCAGACAGAGAGAAGGCGGAGAGGAGAGGAACCGCGCCACCATGTGTGACATCCTGGCTGTGCATGCCTGGATCGACCCTGCTACTGGCTTCTGTCAAGGTGCGTCTTGATAGCAGCAGCATGTGTGAGGCACAGCAGGCCATAACATGCAGTTACACAGGCTGTAGGTTGCTGCAGTCTGGCAGACAGAGAGAAGGCGGAGAGGAGAGGAACCGCGCCACCATGTGTGACATCCTGGCTGTGCATGCCTGGATCGACCCTGCTACTGGCTTCTGTCAAGGTGCGGCTTGATAGCAGCAGCATGTGTGAGGCACAGCAGGCCATAACATGCAGTTACACAGGCTGTAGGTTGCTGCAGTCTGGCAGACAGAGAGAAGGCGGAGAGGAGAGGAACCGCGCCACCATGTGTGACATCCTGGCTGTGCATGCCTGGATCGACCCTGCTACTGGCTTCTGTCAAGGTGCGGCTTGATAGCAGCAGCATGTGTGAGGCACAGCGGGCCATAACATGCAGTTACACAGGCTGTAGGTTGCTGCAGTCTGGCAGACAGAGAGAAGGCGGAGAGGAGAGGAACCGCGCCACCATGTGTGACATCCTGGCTGTGCATGCCTGGATCGACCCTGCTACTGGCTTCTGTCAAGGTGCGTCTTGATAGCAGCAGCATGTGTGAGGCACAGCAGGCCATAACATGCAGTTACACAGGCTGTAGGTTGCTGCAGTCTGGCAGACAGAGAGAAGGCGGAGAGGAGAGGAACCGCGCCACCATGTGTGACATCCTGGCTGTGCACGCTTGGATCGACCCTGCTACTGGCTTCTGTCAAGGTGCGTCTTGATAGCAGCAGCATGTGTGAGGCACAGCAGGCCATAACATGCAGTTACACAGGCTGTAGGTTGCTGCAGTCTGGCAGACAGAGAGAAGGCGGAGAGGAGAGGAACCGCGCCACCATGTGTGACATCCTCGCTGTGCACGCTTGGATCGACCCCGCCCCTGGTTTCTGCCAAAGTGCGCTGCAGATTTTTTAGGCGCCTCAAAGTGCCCTGCGATAGCAGCATCTGATGATATGATAGCACGAGGGATCTCATCACAGCTGAGGACCTTCTCCTACCCCACCCTCTCCACCCTTGGGCATGTGCGACATCCTCTTTCCTTTCATCATGCTCTACGGCCTATCCATTAGCCCTATGACTTCTAAATGCCTCCTCCCTGCATCACATCACCCCCCAAACTTCAACCCTCTTCCCTACCTCAACCACCAGGCATGTGCGACATCCTCTCGCCTTTCATCATGCTCTACGGCCATCCTGCCAATGAGCCCTATGGCGCCTCAATACATCTCTCCTGCATCATCTTCCCTTTCTCCCTCTTCCCTACCTCAACCACCAGGCATGTGCGACATCCTCTCGCCTTTCATCATGCTCTACGGCCATCCTGCCAATGAGCCCTATGGCGCCTCAATACATCTCTCCTGCATCATCTTCCCTTTCTCCCTCTTCCCTACCTCAACCACCAGGCATGTGCGACATCCTCTCGCCTTTCATCATGCTCTACGGCCATCCTGCCAATGAGCCCTATGGCGCCTCAATTCATCTCTCCTGCATCATCTTCCCTTTCTCCCTCTTCCCTACCTCAACCACCAGGCATGTGCGACATCCTCTCGCCTTTCATCATGCTCTACGGCCATCCTGCCAATGAGCCCTATGGCGCCTCAATACATCTCTCCTGCATCATCTTCCCTTTCTCCCTCTTCCCTACCTCAACCACCAGGCATGTGCGACATCCTCTCGCCTTTCATCATGCTCTACGGCCATCCTGCCAATGAGCCCTATGGCGCCTCAATACATCTCTCCTGCATCATCTTCCCTTCCCCCTCTTCCCTACCTCAACCACCAGGCATGTGCGACATCCTCTCGCCTTTCATCATGCTCTACGGCCATCCTGCCAATGAGCCCTATGGCGCCTCAATTCATCTCTCCTGCATCATCTTCCCTTTCTCCCTCTTCCCTACCTCAACCACCAGGCATGTGCGACATCCTCTCGCCTTTCATCATGCTCTACGGCCATCCTGCCAATGAGCCCTATGGCGCCTCAATACATCTCTCCTGCATCATCTTCCCTTTCTCCCTCTTCCCTGCCTCAACCACCAGGCATGTGCGACATCCTCTCGCCTTTCATCATGCTCTACGGCCATCCTGCCAATGAGCCCTATGGCGCCTCAATACATCTCTCCTGCATCATCTTCCCTTTCTCCCTCTTCCCTACCGCAACCACCAGGCATGTGCGACATCCTCTCGCCTTTCATCATGCTCTACGGCCATCCTGCCAATGAGCCCTATGGCGCCTCAATACATCTCTCCTGCATCATCTTCCCTTTCTCCCTCTTCCCTACCGCAACCACCAGGCATGTGCGACATCCTCTCGCCTTTCATCATGCTCTACGGCCATCCTGCCAATGAGCCCTATGGCGCCTCAATACATCTCTCCTGCATCATCTTCCCTTTCTCCCTCTTCCCTACCTCAACCACCAGGCATGTGCGACATCCTCTCGCCTTTCATCATGCTCTACGGCCATCCTGCCAATGAGCCCTATGGCGCCTCAATACATCTCTCCTGCATCATCTTCCCTTTCTCCCTCTTCCCTACCTCAACCACCAGGCATGTGCGACATCCTCTCGCCTTTCATCATGCTCTACGGCCATCCTGCCAATGAGCCCTATGGCGCCTCAATACATCTCTCCTGCATCATCTTCCCTTTCTCCCTCTTCCCTACCTCAACCACCAGGCATGTGCGACATCCTCTCGCCTTTCATCATGCTCTACGGCCATCCTGCCAATGAGCCCTATGGCGCCTCAATACATCTCTCCTGCATCATCTTCCCTTTCCCCCTCTTCCCTACCTCAACCACCAGGCATGTGCGACATCCTCTCGCCTTTCATCATGCTCTACGACCATCCTGCCAATGAGCCCTATGGCGCCTCAATACATCTCTCCTGCATCATCTTCCCTTTCTCCCTCTTCCCTACCTCAACCACCAGGCATGTGCGACATCCTCTCGCCTTTCATCATGCTCTACGGCCATCCTGCCAATGAGCCCTATGGCGCCTCAATACATCTCTCCTGCATCATCTTCCCTTTCTCCCTCTTCCCTACCTCAACCACCAGGCATGTGCGACATCCTCTCGCCTTTCATCATGCTCTACGGCCATCCTGCCAATGAGCCCTATGGCGCCTCAATACATCTCTCCTGCATCATCTTCCCTTTCTCCCTCTTCCCTACCTCAACCACCAGGCATGTGCGACATCCTCTCGCCTTTCATCATGCTCTACGGCCATCCTGCCAATGAGCCCTATGGCGCCTCAATACATCTCTCCTGCATCATCTTCCCTTTCTCCCTCTTCCCTACCTCAACCACCAGGCATGTGCGACATCCTCTCGCCTTTCATCATGCTCTACGGCCATCCTGCCAATGAGCCCTATGGCGCCTCAATACATCTCTCCTGCATCATCTTCCCTTTCCCCCTCTTCCCTACCTCAACCACCAGGCATGTGCGACATCCTCTCGCCTTTCATCATGCTCTACGACCATCCTGCCAATGAGCCCTATGGCGCCTCAATACATCTCTCCTGCATCATCTTCCCTTTCTCCCTCTTCCCTACCTCAACCACCAGGCATGTGCGACATCCTCTCGCCTTTCATCATGCTCTACGGCCATCCTGCCAATGAGCCCTATGGCGCCTCAATACATCTCTCCTGCATCATCTTCCCTTTCTCCCTCTTCCCTACCTCAACCACCAGGCATGTGCGACATCCTCTCGCCTTTCATCATGCTCTACGGCCATCCTGCCAATGAGCCCTATGGCGCCTCAATACATCTCTCCTGCATCATCTTCCCTTTCTCCCTCTTCCCTACCTCAACCACCAGGCATGTGCGACATCCTCTCGCCTTTCATCATGCTCTACGGCCATCCTGCCAATGAGCCCTATGGCGCCTCAATACATCTCTCCTGCATCATCTTCCCTTTCTCCCTCTTCCCTACCTCAACCACCAGGCATGTGCGACATCCTCTCGCCTTTCATCATGCTCTACGGCCATCCTGCCAATGAGCCCTATGGCGCCTCAATACATCTCTCCTGCATCATCTTCCCTTTCTCCCTCTTCCCTACCTCAATCACCAGGCATGTGCGACATCCTCTCGCCTTTCATCATGCTCTACGGCCATCCTGCTGACGCCTTCTGGTGCTTCGAGTGCCTCTTCTCCCGCATTGTAAGCCATACCACCCATCCCATGCTTCAATGGATGCTGTAAACCCTAAACCCTGTAAGCCCTCATGTTTGCTTTCCTTTTCCGGTGCTTCGAGTGCCTCTTCTCCCGCATTGTAAGCCGTGCCAACCATTACATGTATGCTTCACTGGATGCTTGTCTGGCACGTGTATAAAGTGAATTTTTGAGACGTCTCAAAAGAAGTATGCTTCACTGGATGCTTGTCTGGCCCCTTCTCCCCGCACGGTAAGCCATGCCATCATCCCATGCTTCAATGGATGCCGGCAACTTAATGTTCTCTCTCCTTCCCCCCCTCTCCCCTTCCCCCTTCCCTCTGTCTGCACGACCGTCACCCATGTACAATGGGATCAGTATGTTCTTTCTCATCCTCCACCCTTCGCCCCCTCCCCCTCCCTGCTCGCATCCCTTCCCTCTTTCCCTCCCCTTCCCTCTTTCCCTCCCCTCCTCCTCCCACCCTCCCAGCGGCACAACTTTGTGCTGGAGGGGCCGGTCGGCATCCTTCGGCGGCTAGCGGTGCTGCGGGACGTGGTGGCGCTGGTGGACCCCGAGCTCGCCTCCCACCTGGAGGAACCTCCCCTCCCTGCCTGCCTGACTGCCTGTCTCCCTCCTTCCCTTTACCTGCACCATACCCACCCCACTAACCACCAGAAAAGAGTGCTCTTTCTCATCCTCCACCCGTATCCCTACTCCCTCTTCCCCTCTCCCCCCTCCTTCCCCCTCCCCCTCCCCCACCCACCCTCACAGCGCCACAACTTTGTGCTGGAGGGGCCGGTGGGCATCCTGCGGCAGCTAGCAGTTCTACGAGACGTGGTGGCGCTGGTGGACCCAGAGCTGGCCTCCCACCTGGAGGAGCTGGGCGCCGATAACTTCATGTTCGCCTTCCGCATGCTGCTCGTGCTCTTCCGGAGGGAATTACCACTCGTGGATGTGATCGTCATGTGGGAGGTGCGTGAAAGGGAAGAGGTGTGTTGTTGCCTGGACGGTGGGTCACAGAGCAGGGCAGGGGGACGTGGTGGCGTGGCGCTGGTGGACCCCAAGCTCGCCTCCCACCTGGAAGAGCTGGGAGCGGGTAACTTGATGTTCACCTTCCCGCATGCTGCTCGTGCTCTTCAGGCGGGAGCTGCCTCTCGTGGACGTGATAGTGATGTGGGAGGTGCGTTGGGGGGTTTGGGAGTGGTGGGTCGCAGTAAAGGTAAGCACCTGACTCACCGGGCGCCGAATACTTCATGTTCGCCTTCCGCACGCTGCTCGTGCTCTTCAGAAGAGAACTCCCCCTTGTGGATGTCATCGTGATGTGGGAGGTGCGTGTTAGGGAGAATCTGGGTTATTGTGGGTATGGGGGAGGTGGGATTTAGGGGAGGTGGATAGTGAGCTCACTCACCTGGCAGAGCTGGGAGCGGATAACTGCATGTTCGCCTTCCGCGTGCTGCTCGTGCTGTTCCGGTGGGAGCTGCCTTTAGTTGACGTGATCCCCCGAACCTCGTTGCTGAGCCTGCTTAGAAAAGCTCCTTGCCCTCTCCCCCCCGTCTTCCACCACTCATACCCCATCCCTCTGATTCCCCAGATGATGTGGGCGACGGACTTCTACTCTCGAATGGCCTCCGTGCTCCTCCACCACCCCCCTGAGGGTCTCAACCTCTTTGCCGAGCCCCCCACCTGGTCTACCGGTCCCTCCCCCCTTCAACTCTTTCTAACCCACTGCTCCTGTGCCCCTGTTCCCCATACCCTGATTCCTCAGATGATGTGGGCGGCGGATTTCGACTCACGCATGGCCTCTGTGCTCCTCCACCACCCCCCTGAGGGTCTCAACCTCGTTGCCGAGCCCCACACCTGGTCCACTGGTCCCCTCCCCCCCCTCGACTCCCCCACAAATGATGCCGCCACCACCCCCGTACCGTTCTCCACCGCTTCCAACCAAGGGGGATCGTCTCTAGGGGGGTTTGACGTGATGGGGCTGGGCGGGGGAAGGAGAGGGGGGATATGGCGGTCAGGGCAGTTGACGGCACAGGATGTGGAGGGGGGCGCGAGTCTGATGTCTCAGTGGGGGGAGGCGCGGGTGGGGGACGAGGACTTGGCGGTCTTCTGTGTGGCGGCAATTCTGAGGGTGAACAGGAAGAGACTGCTTCTAGTGGAAGGATCAGACGAAGCAATCAAGGTGGGTCTGGCCTTTTAAGGCTCAATCGTTGGCAAAATAGGCCCTTAGAACTTTCTGTTCTGTGCAGCGTCCATTCTGCTGGTCAACAGGAAGAGGCTGCTGCTGGTGTAGGGATCAGATTAAGCCGTCAAGGTAGGTGTGCGTGCGTGCGTGGTTAGCGACTTTGACATGTCTCAGAAGGCCATCAAAGTGGATGGGCCTGTTTAGCCCCTCATGAGATGTGCCTGTTTAGCCCCTCATGAGATGTGCCTGTTTAGCCCCTCATGAGATGTGCCTGTTTAGCCCCTCATGAGATGTGCCTGTTTAGCCCCTCATGAGACCCCTCTACTCTTCATCATCACACCAATGCTCTCACCATCATCTGGTCAACGTCTTTGCCCCTTCAAACCCTGGAGCCGGTGCTCCACGTGGTCTCCTCTACCCACCTCCTCTGCTCTCTAACCTTTCTACCTTTCTACCTCTAACTCCTCATGTGTTCCTCCCTCCCTCCGTCCGATCCGGTCAACCCATGAGGAGATGTTCAACGATGTGGAACTGATGTTGGCCGTGCTCTCCTGCACCCACCTGCTCTGCTCTCTCCTGTCACACTGGTGCTTTCAGCATCACCTTTCCTTCCCATTTGCCCCTTCCGCCCCCTCCCCATGCCCCTCTCAATCCATCAGATGTTCAACGAATGACGTGGAGCTGGTGCTGGCCGTGCTGTCCTGCGCCCACCTTTTCTGCTCTTTAACTTCTCCACCTTTCACATCAATGCTCTCACCCCTCTCTGCCCATCCCTACCCATCAGATGTTCAACGATGTGGAGCTGGTGTTCGATGTGGTTTCCTGCATTCACCTGCTCTGCTCCCTAGCCTCCCTACTTTCACACAGCAATGCCCTGTTACCGCTCTCTACCCCTCTCAACTCATCAGATGTTCAACGATGTGGAGCTCGTATTAGATGTGGTCTCGTGCATCCACCTCGCCATCAAGCTCCGCACCAAGTACTTTCGAAAGGTGTGTACATGCAAACAAGCATGTTCATATGTATGTATGCAAACAAGCATGTTCATATGTATGTATATTATATATATAAACATTTACGCTTTTTTTTTCCATGCATTGGTTCTCGCCGCACAAGCTGATGCTCTTGATATGTTTCCCCTCTCACACCCTTTCCCCCTAACCCCTCCCTAACTGTTGTCCCCCGTGTCCCTCCCTCTGTTTGTTGAACTCTACGTCCTTCCACACTCCACGCGGCGTTAGGGCGCAATAGCATCTCAAAAGGAATTCTAACTCCATAGCATTGTAAGTCGACTCAAAAACTGCTCTCCTTCGTGTCCCTCCTTCCCTCCATTGTTTTGGCTCCACTCCACGTTCTTCCAGGCTCCACGCGGCATTCGAGCGAGATAGCATCTCAACTCAAACGGCATTCAGGCTTGATAACACACACCACCGATGGCGATTTTGTACGCATGCCCATGCACAAGAACGCCTTTTCCCCTGAGCACGAGACACGCAGCTTATGACTGATCGGCCGATGCTCCCACGTTTTTTTCAAATGAATTGGAGCATCCTGTATTCTGAAATAAATAAGCTGTGGCTTTACGGATAATGTGAAGCCACTCACGGCTGAGCTTCAGCTCATGCTTTTAGTCTCCTACCATGTGGTTCTTCAAGGCTTCTGTTGTACGGTAATCTAGGCTTTGATGGATTCCTTGGTAATGATAGCATCTGTTTTTTCACCCCCAGACAAGCTGCAATCGTAGCTGTAACACGATCGGGTTCGGGGTTTTCGCTACACAACGTAACCACCTCGAATGCGTCGCGTTATTCTCTTTGTTACCCTCCACATGGCGGTTTGTCCGTCTCTCGACTGCACGAAAACATCTGCGTAGCGTCCGATCAAGTTTGAATCGACGCCTAAAAACGATCCTTCGGCTGCAAAATGTGTCAGAAAGTTGCCGCCAACATGTGTCCAGCTAGGATTCTAGCTCCTAGACTCAGCTATGTGTCAGATCAGAAGCGGATCCACGCTGAATTGACGGCGAACCGGTTATAATTTTCCTCCAATAGCATGATTCCGGCGTACACCATAGTCGCGCCGTCATCAAGCATCCATGCAAGAGCATTTTGTCGAGCATGCCTGCCAAGTGGCCGAGCCAGTGTCAGGCACGCGCCACAGCCATGGCATTATACTCAGTGAGAAGGACCTTTTTCTCTCTACCTTTGAGATTAATTCCAGATGCACGCACAGTCGCACCTGGTGTCACCAGCAATGTTGGCCAATCCATCTCGCCGTGCTGCCTCGTATTGGGAGAAATTTATTTATCCTTCAGGCTCCCGTTTCGTTTGTTCAATCCCGGTTTGACTCGGTTGCGCTAGGCTGGTTGGGGTCCAGGCCAGCTCCTCCGGTTCCTCTCGGTCCCGTGGTTCGCAGTCCCGGGCTCGTCGAGCTGATCGCGTCGCGGATTTCGCGATTCGAAATTCACCGATGCCCGTGTAGCTGCACGGTACGGAAACTGCTGATTTCTGAATTTTCCAGAGGGGTCGTTTCACGCGGCTGGGGAGACCTGTTCCCTTCGGCACTCTGGCACACGTCCTTCTGAACGAAGTATAGCCGTTGGGGTGCCAATTTACCATTAAGGTTGACTCTCCCTCCCAGCTCCTGCAACGGACCGCTTCCTCATCTGCTCCTCATGGCCTCCTTCCACGCCGCCTCGCCGCGTTTGGCTATCATGGCGTCGCCAGCTCGTCCTGCCATAACCGTTACAACGTTACCACCCCGTGTTGTTTACCTCACATCCGCTGCAGTCACACCCGTCCGGAACGTCACACGCCACGAGCCGCATCGCTGCGTTCTTAGCACACCACTGACAGCCCAGAGCCGTCCGATCCAGCTAGATCTCTTCCCGCGCTCACATCCAACCGTTACCAGGCCCCAAGCCGCTGCTAGGCGCTGCATTGGTGTGCCAGCGGGAAGAAGAGCCAGAGCCGTCAGCAGTCTTCCGCGCGCTGCTCTGGAGGATGGGGAAACTGAAACCGCTGCTGGCGCCGATGCAAATGGAAAGCCCAAGGATGGGAGTGTGCAGCAGCCTGACCCGGCTCCTCCCCAGGCCACACGTGGGGGGACTAAGACCGTCGCGGAGGAGGCGAGGGGATACCTGGAGAAAGCAGAGGAGGATTTCCTGCAGGTTTGCCTTTTTTGGGCGCCTCAAACCTCTCCTTATATCTTGCATAAGACCAAGCCATCTTGTTCGTCCCTCTTTCCTCCGCACATGCACTATTCCTCATTGCCCCCTTTTCCGCCCGCTAGTTTCCAAGCGTCTGGATACTCGGCACGCAGCACCCTTTCCCGTCTCTCTATCTCTCCCTCCCCCCATCAGTTCACACACCACTCGGGGCGAGCGCTCATCCTCTTCCGCACCACCTCGCCACCTCACTCAGCACTGCACCCCCTGTGTTGCCCTCTAGGCACTACTTTTGATGCGCAATTCTCAGCACCACCTTCCTCCCTTCCTCTTCCCCCACTCTTCCCCCCTTCTTCCCCGCTCTCTCCCCCCATCAGTTCACGCAGCACCTGGGGCGAGCGCTCATCCTCACCACCATCCCTGGGGTCGCGCTGGAAACTCTTCGTGAGCTCTCAGGCTCCAGGGTGCAAGGGTGGGACGTCGTCTGGTTCTGCTGGGCGGCAGGCCTTGTCCTGGGGTGCATGGTCGGGGTGGGCGAGGTCATGCAGAAGCACCAGAGGCGGCGCGCTGCCGCCCGCCTGCCGCCCAGAAAAGTTGTCCTGACTGGGGGCTCCAGGGGCCTGGGCAAGGCTATGGCTCGAGAGTTCCTATTGGCCGGCGATGACGTGTTGCTGACGTCAAGGAGGTGAGAGATGATGTGGCGCTGACGTGGATACGCCATCATTGGGCTCTATCCGTTACACGCCCACGTTTTTCCTTGTGGTACTGCTTTTCATTGCCTTGACCAATCGTCATCCCATGCTTCAAATCTTCAAATAACCAGGTCAGGTGTGTTTTGAGTCGACTCCAAACACACCTGCCCCACACCCCATCCAACCCCCCCTCCCTCCCGCACCCAGCCCCCTTCTCTCTTGGAAATTCTGCCGTTCTTACCCCAGTTTTGAGTCGACTCAAAAATCAACCCTCCAGCACGCAGCCCCCTTCTCTCTTGGAAATCACGTGTAAAGAGTGAATTTTTGAGACGTCTCAAAAATCCAACCCCCCCTCCCTCCTGCACCCAGCCCCCTTTTCCCTTGGAAATTCTGCCGTCCTTATCCCAGAAAATAGTTACTTTCGAGAAATATCATTGAATGTACCCCCTTCCGGCACCCACCCGCTTTGTCTCTTGGAACTTGTGTCATCCTTTTCCCTGCAGTGAGGAGGGGGTGGAGGAGGCGCTGAGAGCGCTGCAGCAGGACACGTGGCACATCACAGGGCGCTCTCCGCTGGCTGTGCTGGTGAAGACCAGGTCCAATCAAGCAGAGTCAACCCAGTCAACGCAGTCAACGCAGTCAACCAGGTAAAATATGAGTCGCGCATGTACTAGGACCACCACCGTGTGTGCTCCGTTGCCCCCCTCATGTTCGCCTGTCTACCCTGTAACAAAATGTCTTCAAAATTGTAAGATATCTCAACAGTCAATAGTGCAGAGCTGTAGTGATTCTTACCAATCAGGGTGGTATGGGAGCTCTCACACACGCACGGGGAGCAGAACCAGGATACACTTAACCGTCAGCAGAAGGACTATCGGCAGCTGTCCGGGCGGCAGAGAGTGGTTGGGATTGCCTGTGATGTGCGGTCGGCAAGGGACGTCCAGATGCTTGCTGACGTGGCACGGCAGGAGCTGGGGCGAGCTGACATCTGGGTGAGTGAGCTGGCATTGCCATCCGGACCCCATTGTTGTTCTTCTAACCCATTAATTAATTAATTAATTAATCAATCAATCAATCAATCCAGCCCCGGCCATCACTTGTGTTAGACGTACATGGACTTGTATTGACGTGCGTTGACCTGTGTTGACTTATATCGACTCGTGTTGACCATGACAGGTGAACAACGCAGGCACCAACCCCATGGCGAAGCCCTTCATTGACTTCGAAGACCACGAGTTGGAACAGGTGAGCTGCATTGACTTGTGTTGACTTGCGTTGACTTGCATTGACTGGCCGACTTGAGGTGAGAGCAGGTGAGAGGTGGAGCGTGTTGTGGGATGGGGAGTTCTTCAGATATCTTCCAGTGACATGTTGAGTATTTGAACAAGATCCCTGCACCCTGTTTCCCTGCCACACTGCTCCCATGCCTCCAGGTGGTCTCCACTAACCTGTTGGGCTCGCTGCTGTGCACGCGGGCAGCAATGCGCCTCATCCAGCAGCAGCTGCCATCCCTGCCACGCTTTAACTCCCCTGCCTTGCTCCCTCTCTATCACGCCATTTCTCCATTTCTCTTTAACTCCCCGCTTCTCATTTCCTCTCTCCCGAATAACCCCCCAGGTGGTCTCCACCAACCTGCTGGGTTCTCTCCTCTGCACGCGGGCAGCAATGCGCCTCATGCAGCAGCAACCCTCCCTACCAGACCAAACAGCCGGCCATGTGTTCAATTTGGAAGGGGCAGGGTCGTGGGGAGGCGCAACCCCTCAGTATGCTGCGTATGGCGCAACCAAGTGTGCGCTCAGGCAGCTAGGGGCGTCACTGGTGGAAGAGGAGAGAGTGGAGGGGCGAGTGGGTATCCACGCAGCATCCCCAGGGCTGGTGCTGACGGATCTGCTGCTGAGTGGAGCGACGGTGGCCAACAAGCAAGCATTCAACATCGTGGGGGAACACCCCGAGACCGTCGCGCGTGTGCTCGTCCCCCAGGTGAGGTGCGGTGCTGTGTGGTGATGTGCAGTGAGGTGCGGTGCTGTGTGGTGATGTGCAGTGAGGTGCAGTGCTGACTGATGGGTGGGTCTTCAGTGGGCTGGTGCTGACGGATCGGATCTGCTGCTGAGTGGGGCGACGGTGGCCAACAAGCAAGCATTCAACATCGTGGGGGAACACCCCGAGACTGTTGCACGCGTGCTCGTGCCCCAGGTAATGTTTTCAATGGTGGCCCAGGTGATGTGTTGACAGATGGATGGCTCAGTGGATCTTCAGGTACTGCTTCAGGTGCTGGTGTCTCAGGTGCTGGTCCAGTTGCTCTGATAGATGCTGCTTCATGTGCGCTTCATACTGTGATTTCTTGTGTGTGCTTTTCTGTGCATCTGTGTTCTTCTGCCTGTATCAGATGCGCACTGTAAAGGGTACGGGGTCCACAGTGAGCTACCTCACACCGCCCCGCATAGTACTGGCCATCCTGTCTGCCTGGATGCGCCGAGGCCGCTGGTTTGATCTTCAGGTGAGGAGAAAGGGGGAACTCTAATGCACTCTGTAAAGGGTATGGGGTGTATAGCTCAGCATCATGGAAAAGTCTTACCTTCTCTCCATACCCACCTCCTCTCACATCAGACCAGGCCGTTTATGCATTGGAACCAGCTTTGGCAGAATTAGAAAAGGTACTTTGTCTGTGTCTCGCATTGCTGCAGGGTCAGGCTGTGTATGCAACGGAGGCGCAGAGGCTGCAGAGGCTGCGGGCATGGGCAGAGGGCAGAGACAGATCAGTCATGGGCGCAGCGATGGATGCAGCATTGGCTCAAATCATCCTTCCTTTGTCTGTATCTGGCATCTGTGCAGGGCCAGGCTGTGTATGCCACGGAGGCGCAGAGGCTGCGGGCGTGGGCGGAAGGCAGAGAAAGATCGACCATCGGGGCAGCGATGGATGCCGTCCCCAGCACAGCTTGGCTCTCCCTTGCGTCTTCCTCACTTGGCGTGTGCCTCATTGTGGCGTCCATGTTCCTGCAGAACTCAGGGACTTAGATATGCAGAAGTTGGGTTTAGATCACATGATGGATGCAGTGCCCAGCACAGCTTGGCTCTCCCTTGCGTCTTCTTCACTTAGTGTGTGTGTGCCTCATTGTGGCGTCCATGTTCCTGCAGAACTCAGGAATGTAGATATGCAGAAGTTGGGTTTAGATTACATGATGGATGCAGTCCCCAGCACAGCTTGGCTCTCCCTTGCGTCTTCCTCACTTGGCGTGTGCCTCATTGTGGCGTCCATGTTCCTGCAGAACTCAGGGACGTAGATATGCAGAAGTTGGGTTTAGATTACATGATGGATGCAGTGCCCAGCACAGCTTGGCTCTCCCTTACGTCTTCTTCACTTAGTGTGTGTGTGCCTCATTGTGGCGTCCATGCTCCTGCAGAACTCGAGATTTCCCTATCAAGATGACTTGATGTGTGTGTTTGCTCCCTGACACAGCTTGTCTCCGCCTAACCTCCTCTTCCATTAGCATGTGGCTCATTGTGGCGTCCATAAGCAGCACCCAGTGACATGTATACGAAATGATTGCATGTAGATGTTAAGCACCAACGTCCATCCAGCACCCAGCAAGCTGAAGTACCATACCCACTCTTTCAATATCTTCATGGGGTAAAAATGTTTGTCATATTGACAAACATATTGGCGGTACGAGCAATATCTACACGAATTTGAGACCATGGTTTGTCCAAATTTGAGACCCTGTGACTTTTACTAAATCCAAAGGCCCCATATTTGTAGTTTGGAACGGATCGGATGCTAACGGAAATTATGAGTGCCTGTTCTCCGGTGACTACAAGGTTGCCGCTTCGGCTTGGCATTCTAGCAGAAGCCATGGCTTTGCCATTCATCCGCGAGCTTCCAGAGCATGTGTCAAGGAAAGTCAGGTCTTCGGTTGTCGTCCCTTCACTATCGCAGCTTACGGAAGAGCTAGTTTGCAACAGCCTCGATGCAGGTGCCAGAGAGGTGAACCGCGACGTAGGCTCATAGCAACTGCTGAAATTATTTCCAGGTTTAAATATCGCAGAGAAATAATGCACGTTACGGCCTGTATTCAGGTTTCTGTGACGGTCGACTCATCAGCGGTGACGATAAGAGTGGATGACGATGGTACTGGTTTGATTGTCCGTTGACCGACTCGGTGTATGCACTCGACTTACTACACGGTTCTCCCCCGTTTACAGGCTGTGGTATTTCGCGTGATGACCTGGTGCTACTTGGTGAGCGTCAAGGTACGTCAATAAAACGTTGAATCACCACTGGTTCTTGTCGTTCCTGCCGCTTCAGAAAAGCACCTCCTTACCTTAGCTTCCTACACACAGCGACGTCGAAGTTACAATCGATAACGGAGCTCGAAGCTGGTCCTACAACACTGGGATTTCGAGGAGAAGCACTCTTCTCAATCATGGGCCTCTCCCTGGTCGAGATTGTGACTCGTCCTAAGGGGTCGGCTAGCACTTACTGCAAGATTTGTAAGGTGGGTCATTATTCTCTATGGTGTTGATGTGTGGAATAGAACTTAAGCTTACGGCCACCTGATGCAGGGTGGAAGAACGCTCTCTGTTGGAATGACGAAGAAGCTGAGAACAACTGGCACGACAGGTGCGTTCACTCTCTGATTTCAGTGGTTGTGAATGTCATCACATCACAGTGAATTGAGTCCGGTTTCCAATGTGTGACTGGTTGCAGTTATTGTTCAAGACATATTTTTCAACCAACCAGTCAGGCGACAGCTAGTGGAGAAGAAGTTAGTCCGCTCCACTGACTGGGTTTCTTTCGCCTATCACACAGGACACTTCCCTGTTATGCACATGTCTCATTCTTGTTTACTTAACCCCTTGTTCGATTCGTTTTGTGTCTAGCTTATCAAAGGAGATTCAGAGCATCAGGGACAGAGTTGGTCATTTGGCATTCATGTATCCACAAGTTTCATTCATGGTGTCGGATGTTGCTAGGTGAGAGCCGAAACTCAAGCATTTTCTGCGTAGGTAGATAATTTGACAGACACTGTCAACTTTACATTGCATGTGCACAGGAGCAAGACTCTGCTATCCTTGTCTGGTGGAAGATCGGTGGGTTCCGGCATAAAAGATGTGTTTGGAGCTACCATTTTTGAGTCAATGAAAGAGATTGACTATCAGAAGGGTGACTTGAGACTGTCTGGCTTCATCTCACGGCTGGTGCAACATGAGTCCTCAAGAGATGTACAATACTTATGTAATCTTTCTCCCCCTCTCGAGCCCAAATGTTCTTGTTTCACTGTATATGTTATGTTAATGTATGACTGGTGGTTGATTTTGGCAGACATAAACAAGCGGCTGGTGAAGCACACTCGATTTCACAAATTGATGAACTCCATCTTCTCCACATCGCTCAGCTTGCACTCAGAAGCTGAAGGGGGCGCGGAATTAACTACTTTTCAGGAATTGATGTTTGTTGTTAACCTGTCATGCCCACGGTCCTCATATGACATTACGTTTGAGCCTACAAAGACATATGTGGAGTTTAAGGTACACTTTTTTGCTCCTTCATAAGAACCCGTTAGCTCTGCCACATCACGTTTTATTGATTGGATGCCTGGATTGCAGAACTGGAAGTCTGTTTTGGAGTTTCTCCAAGAAGTCTTGCGTGCCGTGTGGCCTTCCAGCAAATCACCTTTGCCTGAATCAGGTTGGTGGCGAGAAGCCATGTTACAGATTATCAGACTGGCAGTCCGACTGACATTCTTTTGTTATTGTGGCCCTCATTTTCCAGGACCGATGATGCAACCCAGGAAGAAGAAAAGTCAGAAGTCATGGCAGAAAATTGATCCCAGTTACCGGCCAAGCCATCCTATTACATTATCCAGCAAATTAAGCAAGCACACACATCCTACCAGCCACCTGCTTCTGCTTGAAGAGTCAGGCGAAACCTCACCCGAAGATTGTCCCGGCTCAACATACAAAGTTGATCGGTTTGATTCCCCCGTGAATTTGTGTTCCAGGGCTTTGCAAGCCAAAAGAACAAAGAAAGAGAGCAGACGTGAAGACAATACTGACCAAGCTAGGGCGTCCGCTTTGCAACTGGATCTCAACAACTCAAGCGAGTGCATTCCTCAACCCTTCTCTCATCACGATTCTTATCCAGAGCTCTCCCCATTTGCATCGGCAAGAGACTCGTGCCTTCCGCCTACAGTAGCGATAGGGAGTAGGCCCACGGAAGATTATTCCACGGACTTGCCTGCATCCAGTCAGCCCGATTGGACCCTGGATCTACAGGTAGGTAACAATTCTGGATGCATAATGTTGGGAGTGTATGTTGTGCAATGTTTGGTAGCTAACGGGTTTGTCTGCAGCTGCAGCCGGATGGGATGGACCTAGAGACCTCACGGTGCCTCTTTGGAAGAACAGGCCACAACGATCAGCAGCCTCTGGAGCCCATGCCCAAGCGAAGAAAACAAGCATCACCGGAAGAGAATCGTCATTCTGAAGGTTATGGGCCTTCACACTGGTCGTCGATTATTCATCCAGAAGTGGTTCCGGATGACTTGATGCTGGCTGGTATGGAGCACCTTCAGGACATTCAGCTGCAGATACCGATGAATGAGTACAGGACCAGCAAATCAGCCTCCTCGAAGATTGCGCCTGATTTTCCTGCTGTTGGCTCACTTGAGTTTCAACAAGCAGTCGAGTTCATTGATCCGCTTATTGAAACCCAAATGGACCCATCAAGCAATCTGGAGCAAAGTAACAAGCAGAAGGCATGGGGTCTGGTTGCCTGTGGAGGTAAGCACAATGAAGATCTTCTTAGTTTTCCAGGTCTGGAAATACAATCTCAGCTGAACACAGCAATCTTCGTGGCAAAGTTGCAGGTGCATCTGAGACGGCAAAATCAGCAAAGGAAAGTTTTCAGGAGCATGGCTTGACCCCTGGAGCTCTGGCTCCTTCGCCTTTGGTGATTGCAGAGGAAACAGGCAGCAAGCAGAAGCATGCATGTGCACTGCCTATGGCTGAAAAGACTGCTGGACCAGTCGAATGCAGAGAAGAATCCGATCCAGCACCAACGCATATGGCTATTGTAGAAACTCATTACGCTGATGAAGTAGCAGGCTGCTGCTGCTCATCCAAGTGGAGAGATGGCCATGCGCCTGCATGCACTGATAAGAACCATCTGGGCTCGACAAAGTCTGTGAAGGAAATGTACCAGGTAAGGTCCTCAAAGCTTGTATAAAGATTTCAATCATTAACTTTGCCATCCAAAGCCATCGCTTGCTCTCATATATGCTTTTTATTTTATGCAGCATTGGTCCAAGACCAACCTTGCCGAGAAGGAAGAGGTGGAGCCAGAAATTCTTGACCTACAGACATTGGCTTCCAGGTCCATGCAGTTTGATAATCACAGAAGGCAGCGTCGCCCCCTTATCCCAACCTCTGTTTCCAAAGAGACTCTGCTTCAAGCAAAGTGCTTGAAGCAGGTGGATGGGAAGTTCCTGATTGCCACTTCTGGCTCAACCGTGGTCGCCATTGATCAGGTAAGCATTCAAAAGATTCTGATGAGTATGATCTGTCAGCGATGTCGTTCTTCTGACCACCTACAAATATGTCTGCAGCATGCGGCAGATGAAAGGGTTTGTCTTGAGGAGCTCCGTAAGGAGGTGAGTGAGGTTGCATGTCTGGTTGAATTCGCAAGGTTTCATGTTGTGCAAATTCTGAGTTTCTTTCCATGGTGTTGCAGGTTTTGGAGAATCAGTCAGCCGTGGTGCCACTGCTCCTTGATACTCCCTCTGACTTGGTGAGGCACCATGTGTCAGGAAGGTAGACTTTGATCGTCCTGCCCCGCCTTTCGTCAAATTGATTTCTTGTGTTTTCACTGCCAGCCAATCACAGCAGGGCAAGAAGGGTGCGTGAGGTCATATCAAATGCAAATAGAACGATGGGGATGGCGTTTTAAGCTCTCTACAACTGGCGACGCAGAAAACTCTTTCAGACATCGTTCAACTCAAATGGGAGCTGATGCTATGGCCATGCTTAGCCAATCAAGGCAAGTTCCACGTCCCTGAACATTTTGCTTGCCATTGTTTTGTAGGGAAATAAACTGTGCACGCTTCCCCTGCAACCACTTCCTATGTCCCAATGTCCCCCTCCCAGACGTCCAGGAAAATCTCAGTGCACTCCATCTCGGCTTATTGTACTCGCGGTATGGATGTAGTGTGCAAACGTATCCCTGTTTTATCCATTTCCTTGGAGAATCCCTGTTTCATTCCAAGAATCCACTCTCCCTTGAAACTGCAGGTTCCACACTTGCTGGGCACCTCTCTATGTGCTGAAGACATTCTCGACTACTTGCTGCAGGTCCTGGAAGTACTTACAGCTCATGCGGACTCCAATCCAGCTTTCCTCTAGTTCTGTAGGCTTTTATCCACATCTATAATGCCCAATGTTTATCCATTCCATACTTGACCTTGCAGCTTCAAGAAACTGGTGGCCTTGCATCTACACCACCACGGGCAGTTGTGCAATTGCTGGCATCAAAAGCTTGTAGAGGTGAGCTTCTTTTGTGAGTGCTTCCTGCGCACGTTGTTCTTCTGGTGGTTTCAGAATTGTCTGCTTTGTTGTGCAGGTGCCATCATGTTTGGAGACATGCTGAAGCCATCTGAGAGCTCCCAGCTCATTGAGTGTTTGAAGCACACACAGCTGCCCTTCCAGGTGAACACGAACATTGTTAGATGCTGCTGTTTTTGGGTGCTGAAGATGATGTGCTGATGTATGGGTGCATTGCCATGTGTGATGCAGTGTGCACATGGGAGGCCAACCATGGTTCCGCTTGTGGACCTTGACGAGCTGAAGAGATTGGTTGAAGGGATCAAGTTGCAGGGCATCTAGAAATCTGGTCTTGGAGAGGACTTGTGTTAAGATCCATCCACAGGAAGAGCAGTGCAGTTTTTCATATACTTCAGACAAATGCAGTTAAGTGCTCACAGCTAGGGGGTAATTAGTGTCCAACAAGTTGACGTACGTACCACTCTGGATGAGTCAGCGAGCCAATGAGAGCGTGTTCCTACGGCCTCTAGTCAGACTGGCCTCTTGTCAGACTCGAGCCAAACACTAATTTTTCGAGTTGAACAGGCTTCTTTTTTAACGTTTCTTGTTGTTTGGTGAAGCGCTTTGCAAAACCCGTGGGTGACGTGGCACTGCGCAACGCTCCCGCGAAATTGCTGAGGAACAATCGCGAGTCCTGACACGTCACAGGCGATTGAAACGTGCGTTAGGGGCTGGAAAATATTCGAATGCTTCATACCGGACAAAACAGTGTCTTTTCACACGTGTTTCAACGATTTCCTGACACTGGTTCGCCGAAACAGCACGCGTGTGTGAAAGGTTTCGCGTGACCAATTCGTCGCGCATCACTGGTTTTTTCTCACGTCATAAAGTTGTGTTTATAAAGAAATCGCTCGAAGCACCAAGTCTGATCAGAGGTCAGCCTGATAAGGGCCCGTAGGAACACGCTCTGACAATGTCTGATAGACGCTACCAGTGCTGAATGCTAAAACACCAAATCGGCCATGGGATACCCACAACCCTACACGTTAATGTTAAGGCAGCAAAAGAAATGCAGCCCAAAAGTTGTCTAGTGTTAGCCTACTCTCACAAAACCAGCACATGTACTGGATTGTCCAGCATCTACTTCTTTTCAAGAACAGCCTTATGGCCTTCATCCGACACCAGAATCGCCACCAGCACCACCCCCAACATGGTCAAAATCAGCACAGTTCCGAGGTGAACCACATACCGCTGCATAACGGTGCCCCTCTCCACGTTCCCCGCTTCCACACCCCCCTCCACCTCTCCCCCCTTTTCCTTCGCATCCACCTCACGCCGCGCCATCTCAACCGTCCATTTCACCCTATCAAGATCCCCCTCCTTGACAGCCTTAACCAGCTCAGCCTCTCTATCAGCAAGAGCCGATCCCATAAGCTTTTTTCGGGACGGAGGGGGAGCGGGCCTGGACCAAAGGAACCGGGTGGTTTGCCAGAGGAGTGGAGCGAGGTAGAGAGCGATAATGACATCAACTGAGTAGTGCGATCTCTCTCGGATGTCCCTTTGGGCGGCATGCATCACCAGCATCCACACCAGGGCAGATCCCCATCCTGGGTACGCCTCCTGTATTTGACATCCCCATCCATTGGAAAGAGGGGAACAAGGTATGGGGGTAAAGAGGGCAGGGCAGTGTGTGAGGGAGAGAGGCAGTACGGTAGATGTCTCTTAGGGCGGCGTGCATCACCAGCATCCACACCATGGCAGATCCCCACCATGGATACGCCTCCTGTCATTAAGAACACCGTTCATTGAGAAGAGGGGATATGTCTTGGGTGAAATGGGCACTGTGTGAGAAAGAAAGAACAGTTCATAGAATCAGTGAGAATAAGCATATAATTGCCTTTAATGTGTTATATTCTTTAACCCTGAACCTTTTCCCCTGTTCTTTTTTAACCCACCTGCCAGGCGCAAGCCGTGAGCGCAGCAACAACGATATGACCACTGAAGGCAAGGTCGTTGCAGCCACCATAGGGGCGGACGACAAAGCTGCTGAATGCACCAGACGAGGCGGCAGCGCCGTCATGAACACGGGCGTCCATGGGACGCAGGAAGTCCACCAGAAATTGCAGCGAGCCCCAGTCAGGGCGAAACTCCGGCGGATAGCTCATCTGAGGGGCTGGGGAAGAATGAAGGGAAAGGGGGCACAACTGGGAAAGTTGAGTCCATTGCTTCTTCAAACTTTCTTAATTAGCTTATTAGCTGGCCATGCGTGCGTGTGTGTGTGAGTGCGTGCATGCATGCGTGCGTGGTTGCGTGAGTGTGTGTGTGTGGGTGTGTGTGTGTGTGTGTGTGTGTGTGTGTGTGTGTGTGTGTGTGTGTGTGTGTGTGTGTGTGTGTGTGAGTGAGTGAGTGAGCGTGTGCATGTATGCATATGAGTGACAAGAATGGACAGGGAGATGGGGAAGGAGAGGGGGCGAGGAGAGGAAAGGGAGGAAGAGGGAGAGTAGCAGGACCTACCAAAAGCAGTATCCGTGGAAATCAGCTGGTGCAGCAAGTCCGGATTATCATTATACGGCGTCAGATATTTTGCTGCCCAGGGGTGCGGGTGCCGGGGACACGTGTCACCAAACCGCGACTCCGCACACCACGGCCGCGGCGCGGGCAGAATCGTGGATACAAACGTGGCAACCCGCAGGATTCTGCTTAGTCCGATGGTGAAGACGTAGCGTGAGCCCAGCGCCATACCCGGGCCGGGAATCGCGCCGGCGAGAACGGAGAAGGCGAGGAGCATGAAGAGCATGATGAAATCGTGCATTTCCACGATCGGCGCGCGGAGGAGCGCCGTGAGGGGCGCGGGGAGGCGGTCGTTCAGACCGAGAAGGATCCACTGGCCCGTATCAGGGAGAGGGGTGACGGTTCTGTAGGTGGATTGGGGGTGAGGGGAAATGGACGATGGCGGTCGTTGAGGGCGAGAAGGATTCACAGAATTGCGCGTGCGCCAATGGAGACTCACTTGTGCCAGTCGAGGCCGAGCACGACGGTGACGAACTGTACCGCAATCACATCCACGGTGACTTCTAAAACAACTCAATCTCACCTTGATTGAGATGTAGTTTATGCCGATTTTACACTCACCCGCGCCACCTAAAACTTACTTGTGCCAGTCGAGGCCGAGAACGACGGTGACGAATTGCACCGCAATCACCTCCACGACGAAAGCAAGCAGCATGAACCCAACGCACGCCAGGAACTTGGGCACGTTCCGAAACTCCCCCGCGAAATGGCGGTACCGCTGGCTCTGGACGACGCCAAGAATCCCGAGGAAAGCCCATAGAGCCAACGGGAATTTCGACGCGACGTGCGGGGGAAGCCAGTCCGTTCGCGTGCAGACGAACTCTATCAGAACGTAGGCTATGCCGATGGTTCCTAGGTTTAGGACCTTCCGCGCGACGCGCAGCAGCGGAGACCCTTGAGTAACGGAGGCAGATGTCATCGTGTTGCAGGCGGAAGCGGAGAACCTCGAGGTGACAGGCAGTGAAACAGCCAGGTTGGAAAATATTGTTAAGTTCGAATTATGTCGACGTAAATAAGCCGGAGAAGATCGTTCGAGAAGCAAGATGAGTTAACTGTCTGTCAGGTCGACCAGCCGACGTCCTCAATAATCGTTCAAAATGCACGATAACGCACGCAGCGTTGCAATCACGACAGACGCCTCCGAACCTTATAAAACCGCAGTATCATTTCCGTAAATGGCTATAACTAATGAAAGGTAGTTCAGCCAATCGCGGATCTACTAGAGCACGCAGAGTAGCCCTGGCCATCCACAAGTGACTGAACCGGACAAGGATAGAGAGAAGCTTGAAGCGAGCAGCAGGAAGCAGCAGGTATGGGAGACTGTGAAGGACAGCCGGAAAATGACGTCAATGCTCGCCTCGCCTTGGCTACTGAAACACACAACACAGAAGCTTTTGAGGTGTTCGCGAGGTTTTTGCAGATCTCAAGGCTGGATGACGCAAAATCACTCGTCACCGTAATGCACCCCGCTTCATTTATCTGCACCTGACTGAAGTGCATGCAATTCCGCTGTAGCAGAGAGCCTAGGCTACGAGCCTGAGAAACCTGATCATATGGGGGTGCCTCCTCGAGAACTCCACCTGGTGCCCCCCGTCAATTCTGAGAGGTGATATCGGTGATATCGGGAAGGCGGAGACCTGAGAGGTGCGAGAAGCAGAGAATAGCACAGCAGACACAGTGGAACCAGAAATGCTACGGATGTTGAATGAATTTCCCCGGTTATATCTACAACTCAACTAGAATAAATGCGAGGGATTACTCAAAACGGCAAATATTACTCATCGTCGAACTCATCGCAGACCTATGTTTTTCCTCTTGCCTGGTTGGTTGGGTTTGTGGCTGTGGGGTGTGTGATCTGCGGCGCTTCTCCTGCCGTAGGATCAGCTCGATATCAAGCACGAACGACAGAAACTGGTGTCAGACATGGACTTCAAAACTCTGTGTGGCGGAAAAGGGCGGATGTGATACTGTTGCTGCTCTGGCCAATGGGAATTGTACTCGGTAAACACAATCTGCAATATTAGATCTGTTCACCTCCCAACATAGGGCGTGGCCTTCATACGACCTTAATATTATAGTACAAGTGCGAATCGTAAGCAATACCCTTGCAAGAACTGCTTGTACAGAAAAAAAGATTGGAAAGTCCGATCAAATCAGAACCATAAACAATATACCCCTCATTTTCGCCACTTCAAAAAGCCACCACCTTCGTCTGCCATATTGAAGGCCGTCAAAACCACCACAAACAACAACATAATCATACCGATACCAAATGGCAACAGCAATCTGTTAGTCTGTGCATCCCTCCCAGCTTTATCACCAGCAATCTTCCCCTTGACACCGCCTGAAACAACTGCTTCCGCTTCCTCCACGGCATCTCCCACAGCCTCCCTCACAGCACCCAGATCCCCATCCTTCAGCGCTTTCGTAAGCGCCGCTTCCCGCTCACCAAGCGCCGCCCCAAAAGCCTCCCTCCTTGTGGGCGGAGGCGGAGGGCGGGACCAGAGAAACCTGGTGGTACGCCACAGCAGCGGCGCAAGATACAGCGCGATAACCACATCGACCGAGTAATGCTGCCGCTCCCGAACCTCTCTTTGCGCGGAGTGAAACACAAGCCCCCAGACCATGGCCGAAGCCCAGCCGGGAAAGGCCTCCTGCCAGGCGCAGGCATTGAGGGATGAAAAAATAATGTGACCACTTAAGGCGAGATCGTTGCAGCCACCACAGCGGCGAATGACTTTTGAAGCGTTTCAAATGACAAAACCCACCTGCCAGGCGCAAGCAGTGAGGGCTGCGACAATAATGTGCCCGCTGAATGCAAGGTCGTTGCAGCCGCCGTAGGGGCGGATGACGAAGCTGCTGAAGGCACCAGAGGTGGCAGCGGCGCCGTGGTGAGCGCGGGCGTCCATAGGGCGCAGAAAGTCCACCAGAATTTGAAAAACGCCCCATTCAGGTTGATACTCAGGTGGGTAGTGCACCTGGGGGGCTGGGGATAGTTGATATAAGGACACGAAACGGGCAGTGGATGACGCAGTGGGAAATGGGATGGAGGTTGGTGTATGGATGGTTTGATTGTGTTCTGAAAATCCCGAAAATCGCCAACAGCACAATGCAAATGAATGATTGATGTGTGGAACACACAAGGTTGAGTGAACCATACACACAAAGCAGGCGGTAACAGGGACTCATTAAAGGCGATACCAGTGGAGATGACTTGGTGAAGTGGATTGTGGTTCCTGGCATACGGCACAAAGTACTTCCGAGCCCAACGGTGCGGGCGCTTGGGTGCTCCCGAAGGTTAGTTTTACTTTTTAGCCCAGTGGTGGTGTGTGGGTAAGTCTAGAGGCGCCTTAACACATCCACTCACCAAATGCCACATCAGTGGAGATGACTTGGTGAAGCATATCGTGATTCGTGGCATACGGCACGGAGTATTTCTGCGCCCAGGGGTGCGGGTGCCTCACTAATAACACCCACACGAAGGGACTTACCGTATGTGAGGGACCTACCAAATGCCACGTCAGTGGAGATAACTTGGTGAAGCAGATCGTGATTTGTGGCATACGGCACAAAGTATTTCTGCGCCCAGGGGTGCGGGTGCCTCACTAATAACACCCACACGAAGGGACTTACCGTATGTGAGGGACCTACCAAATGCCACGTCAGTGGAGATAACTTGGTGAAGCAGATCGTGATTTGTGGCATACGGCACAAAGTATTTCTGCGCCCAGGGGTGCGGGTGCCTCACTAATAACACCCACACGAAGGGACTTACCGTATGTGAGGGACCTACCAAATGCCACGTCAGTGGAGATAACTTGGTGAAGCAGATCGTGATTTGTGGCATACGGCACAAAGTATTTCTGCGCCCAGGGGTGCGGGTGCCTCACTAATAACACCCACACGAAGGGACTTACCGTATGTGAGGGACCTACCAAATGCCACGTCAGTGGAGATAACTTGGTGAAGCAGATCGTGATTTGTGGCATACGGCACAAAGTATTTCTGCGCCCAGGGGTGCGGGTGCCTCACTAATAACACCCACACGAAGGGACTTACCGTATGTGAGGGACCTACCAAATGCCACGTCAGTGGAGATAACTTGGTGAAGCAGATCGTGATTTGTGGCATACGGCACAGAGTATTTCTGCGCCCAGGGGTGCGGGTGCCTCACTAATAACACCCACACGAAGGGACTTACCGTATGTGAGGGACCTACCAAATGCCACGTCAGTGGAGATAACTTGGTGAAGCAGATCGTGATTTGTGGCATACGGCACAAAGTATTTCTGCGCCCAGGGGTGCGGGTGCCTCGGGCTCGTGCTCCCGAACCTAACCACGGCGCACCACGGCCGAACCGCCGGGAGGATCGTGGACGCGAAGGTTAGGAACCGGAGCAAGCGGGAGATAGCTATGGTGAAGCAGTAGCGCGCGCCGAGCCCGATTCCGGGGGGAGGGATGCAGTTGAAGAGGACGGAGAAGGCGAGCAGCATGAAGAGCATGAGGAAATCGTGCATCTCGACGAGGCGGGCGCGGAGGAGCGCGGTGAGGGGCGCGGGGAGGTGGTTGTTGAGAGCGAGGAGGAGCCACTGGCCCGTGTCAGGGAGAGGAGGGGTGGCACTGGGGGAAAAGGGACAGGGAACCGGGGATAAGCAGCAGCAAGAACAGAGGTAGTGAGTCGAGCAGGTGAGAGTGCAGGGAGGTGGTTGTTGAGGGCGAGGAGGAGCCACTGGCCCGTGTCAGGGAGAGGGGGGGTGACACTGCATTTGGGGGGGGGGGGGATTGAAAGGAATAGGTGGGGAGGGGCGCAGGGAGGGGCGCGGGGAGGTGGTTGTTGAGGGCGAGGAGGAGCCACTGGCCTGTGTCAGGGAGAGGGGGGGTGACACTGAATCGGGGAGGAGGGAAGGAATGGGGGAAGGGAGTAAGGGATGGGGAGAAAAGGAAGGAATGGGGGGAAGGAATGGGGGACGGGGGAAAGGAGTGGGGGGAGGAGAGAAGGAATGGGGGGGGGGAGGGAAGGAATGGGGGGAGGGGGGAAGGAATGGAGGGAGGCGCATAAGAGTAGGAAGGTGGACGGTGAGGAAGAGGATAAGCCACTGATAGGTGTCAGTTAGCGGGGCGAGCTACTAGCGAAAGTGCGGGGGAAGGGAGGGTGGCGGGAGGTGGGGGGGGGGAAGGAAGGTGCGCGGAGCACTGAGAAGCATGAAGAACGTGTGAAGTCGGAAAGGGGGACACCGGGAGCGGTTCAGAGGAGAAATGCGGGAAGGATCGGGGGAGGATCGGGGGAAGGGGGGTTAATGGCCAACACGGCAGCAAGATAATTCGTTCTCCAATGCGGGAGACCCTACATTGTCCTGCAACGAGTTCACCTAATAACGAAGACACGCACTTGTGCCAGTCAATGCCGACCACTACTGTAACGAACTGGACCATAACGACTTCCACGGCGAACATCGCCACCATGAAAAGCACGCTCGCGAAAAACTTGGGAGCCGCGCGAAACTCTTCCGCGAAATGCCGGAAACGCGGAGCCTCGAAAAGCGCGAGAATCGCCAAGACGCCCCACAGACCGGGCTGCAGCTGCGACGCGAGACTTTGCGGAAGCCAGTTGGTTCGGCCTCGCAGGAATTCCATAGCCACGTAAGCTAATCCGATGGTCCCAAGGCCCAGGATCCCCCGCCCGCCAGTGGGTCGCCTTTGATCCACTGCGGGAGCCATAGCTCCCCGTGAATCTCAAACCAGGGGGTGTCAGGAAGCGCCAGAGACTATATTGTCAACAAACTCCCATAACGAATTGTGATTGGTTGGAGAGGTGAAGGAAAGCTGCTGAGGTATGCGGGACCTGCTGGTCCTTTCTTGGCGAAGGATGAGACTGATCCTTTCGTGATTACGCTCGCGTACGCCTGATATGCAGGCGAAAGACTTGAATAGTAACGCGAGAAAAATGAGTTACCAGAAAATGAGCACCGCTTGTATATCCGACGGTCTTCAGACTACACTACCCAAATGGCGACTTATCATATTCAAATATGTGAAACGGAAGAAAGTGACTACACGGGAGTCTAGTAAAGCATTCTTACTGGTCGTTCTGGTTCACAAAGAAGCGGCCAATCCACGTGCCGCTTTGAGGTGAAGCCACATAGCCACATCCCTCACCACCCATCTACCTGGGCATTGTAGCGAAACTCGAGCTACGACCTAATGACGAGGATGATGCACAGATTCTCGAGCTAGCTTGTGAATGTCACATATTTTTCTTCCCTGACGTGAGCGTGAACAATCACATGATTTTCTTCCCTGGTATATTGTTGCCAAGCACCAGCACACCAGATTCCGTTCGAACATAGAGCTGAGCGCCGCGACGATCATTTGGAATCCGTTTGTACATTCACAGCCATGAACTCTCTCGCCGTCTGTCGACCGTCAGCCGCGACGCTGCGCGCCTCGCCACGTCATTCTCGTTCCCCTCATGCGTCCTCTCCTCAAGAACTTTCACGACTAGCCAGCAAGGCTAGAACCTCAAGCAAGTCGAATGCGATAACGGCTAGAGCTCTATCGTCTAGTCCTGCCGGATACTGTGCCGATGACTTGTCTCGCTGTCGGACCAATCGCGTGATTACACGTGCTGCAGCATCCCCCTCTTCTTTCTCGCCCTCCGTACCCGTCGCCGACGCTTCTGCTCCAATTTCTCTCACATATCTCGAAGTAAGTTCCTTCCAGACTTTCTTTAGCGTCAGGTTCTCTCTGGCACGATTTTTGAGGCGCTTTAAAAATCCTTTTAGACTTTCTTCAGTGTCAGGTGCTCTCTGGGTCTATTTGAATAATGCCAACGGCTCCAAAACATTGTGGAGCTATTGTTTCAACCCTTGGTAGACCAAAGTTTGACGATGGCTGATAAACACCGTAATACTGGTAGTCAGTTATATTATAGAGGGTGCATATGTCATTAACGAGTAACCTTTTATTGAGTTTCAAATTCTTATTTCTCTTTGTATCAACCTCGCATCAACCTGGCAGGGCAACAGCTGGCTGTGGTCGGTGGACGGTGTGAAAGTACTCGTGGACCCAATCATCGAGGGTCCTCTAGATTTTGGTATCCCATGGCTCTATACAGGATACAAGAAAGTGCTGAAGTCGCTCTCGGTAAGTGTTGTTTTTATTTCCTAATTCACTTGCGATGGTGGATTTTACTGGTGAGGGTTAATTGTGTGGATGAGGGGAATCAATAAGAGTGGGACCAGAGTTGAATCAATAAGGTCGAAGTGTGGGACTCTCCCACACCACTCCCCACCCTCCCACTCCCCCATCTCCCCCACCCACCCCCCCTCCCTCACCTCCGCACCAAACCATCCACCTACCCTCAGCTGGATGACGTCATCGATGCTGACGTGGTGCTTATCACCCAATCACTGGACGATCACATGCACGCGAGGACGCTGAAGGCCCTCGCGGCCAGACGGCCGGACGTGCCTGTAATCGCCACTCCCAACGGCCAGGCGTTCCTGGACTCGCTCTTCTCCAATGTGAGTTTACGGGGTGGGGGGTTGGTTTATACCATTAAATGGAAGGCACTGGGTGGACGATCACTTGCACGCGAGGACGCTCAAGGCCCTGTCAGCGAGGCGGCCGGACGTCCCTGTGATCGCCACTCCCGACGGACAGGCGTTTCTGGACTCGCTCTTCTCCAATGTGAGTTTGAGAGCGAAGGTATGGGAAAGCAGTCAGGCGGCTGGGCGTCCCTAATATCGCCACTCCCAAAAGCTTGGCGTTTCTTGACTCTGTCTTCTCGAATGTGAGTGTGAGTGTGAGAGTGAGAGCATGGGAATTTGGTCAGACTGGTACGTGCCCTCAGATGTTCCCAAATGATTCTTTCCATACAGAATGGACAGTCGCTTTTCAATCTTTGCTCTCTTGTACGAAAGTAATGGAAAAACTACAGCATGATGTGATCACATGTTTACATGTTTGTAGCAAACTGGGAATACCTGCCATTTAACACACCCCCCTCTCCGCACACCCGCCGCCCCATTTCCTCAGGTGACATACCTAGAGCCTGGTTCCTCCACCTCCTTCTCTTCTTCCAAAGGAGGCCGGCTGTCAGTCAAGGCCATGCCTGGGCCTGTGCTGGGCCCACCCTGGCAGCGACCAGAGAACGGGTGAGTAGGCGATAATGAGTCCTGAAAATAGTAATTACTTGCCTATTTCCGAGGAGCCCAGCTTTCAGTCAAGGCCATGCCTGGGCCTGTGCTGGGTCCACCCTGGCAGAGGCAGAGAAGGGGTGAGTGGCTGAGGTGGAAATGTTGAGAATGTTGAAAAATTTTATACTTCTAGAGGACCCGGACTATCAATTAACCATCTCCAGCCTGTCTTTTGAGTCGGCTCAAAAGTCAGCTCTGTCGAGAATATTGAAGAATTTCATACTTCTAGAGGACCCCAGCTGTCAGTCAGCCATCCCCAGTCACTCTACAAGAACTATTGTTATCTGTTATAAATGTCATTGCCTTCTAAATTGTGAAAAAATCCGCCCAAGTTCCCCCCCCCCCCCCCCTCCCCCACACCCCCTGGGCCCACGCCCTTGGCTTGTGCCTCAGATACATCATTCGAGGGGAGGCATCAGGCGCCTCTATCTATATTGAGCCGCATTGTGTGTTTAACGAGGCAGCTCTTAAGGAGGATGGTGAGAGAGTGGATGTGCTGGTGACACCGGTGGTGAAACAGGAGCTACCGGGTTACACCCTCGTGTCAGGACAGGAGGATGCTGTGCGGCTGGCTAAGGTTGTGGGCGCCAGGTAAGCAACACACAGCCATGTTACTGTTTCACACCACATAATCATAGCACGTGATCTGATGCACTGTTTCAATATTCAGTTGATTTCACTGACAGCATGCACACTCATTGGAGTTGGCCTGACCTGTTGGGTGTTTGTATGCATGCTGTGGTGATGTGCAGATATGTGGCGCCTATGGCAAATGCTGATGTGGACGCGTCAGGGATATTGAGTTCTCTTGTAACTCCCAATGGCACTCTCAATTCATTCAAGGTGAGATTTTGCTCGATCTCTGAAGCACTTGTTGGCAATGGCCGAAATGTAGCACCAACATCTCATGAACTGCCACATTCTTATGTTGTGCAGGAGATACTTTTGTCAGAGAAAGAAGTCAATGTGGAGGTCCTGCAGATTGTGCCTGGCCAACCTGTAACCGTTTCTTTATAAATTGACATTGTTTCACTTGTGGGCATGCGTTGTATGTAATCCCTAACATGGGTATTGCGCTGGCTGTAACGCTATAATTTTCCAAGAAATTGTTGAAATTCTGCAACTGGAAACAGAGAGGCGTACAGTGAGTACCAGTGATGCTGCCCTCACAATGTCCTGCGGTAACGCGTCAGCTCTGTGGCGCGCCACGTCGCCTGTTGCGGGGGAAAGCGAAAAATTGCGGCGGGAAACCCTGCACCGAAGACTTTTTCTTCCGTAAGGCTTTGGAATCTATATTAACCGCTCTCTACCAGACTGATATAATGTCCTTATTAGTGCTGGGTCTGTGTTGGGTTGAAATTGACGGGCAAAGATGCTGTTCTTTGTGAAGGCACTACATCGTGGCCGTTCAAATACGTGGTCACCATTTCCAAGGTTTGGCGGGAAAAATAGTTTTTTTCGGAGAAGCGTGGACTGCACAGAGCCACAAGCAAGAGTCAAGGAATGCCTGGTTATTGTCAGATCGCTTATTATCTCTTACGTCACGCGTGTTCTGAAAGCCACCAGAAACTGATCCTTACCACTTAGACTTTTACCACTTTATGTCAAGAGCCATGACCTGAACGAGCGGCCAGCCCTCATGCGGGGCAACGGATAGAAGGCGCCCAGTGGCTTGGGATTCGCCCAGTAGGTTACAGTCGCCCAATAGCATAGCGTAGCATAAAGTAATCTGCAGAAGCGTACGCGATGCCCGGCACGCGACGGAGGGAGCGCAGCGACAACCTCTTGCAGCGCTTGCAGCACCGCGAGACGTTCCGTTCGCCGCCGTGCACGCAGGCGAGTGGTATTTCGACGAGCAGCAGCTTGTTTCGCAGCTCTTGCACTTTCGCACTCTCGCAGATTTGTAGCTTCGAGAGTTTCGCATCTGCGTAACCGGGTTACACGCATTGAAGCATCACGAAATGCTCCGCTCTCTCATCATTGCTCGCAGGCGTGATGTCTTCGCTATCCTTTTCGTCCTCGTTTTCCTCAGTCTCTCTTTCAACTGTCCTTTTTCTCCCTTTACCGTCCTTGAGTCCCTCCAAAAGTCGTTCGCCCTCTTGTTTCCCAATTCCTCTTCCACCTGTGCTTCCGCTCCCTCTCTCATCTTCTGCTGCTCTCTCTTCTCACATATCCCCCCGCCCCCCCCCCCTCCACCCCCCCCCCCAATCTCCCTTCTCCCTCCCTTCTCCCGTTTCTCCTTCTGATTCATTCCGTTCCACGCTGAACCCTCCAGCTATACTTGGAGTTTCAAGCCTTAGTTTCCAATTCTTTCCGATCCTTTCTACCTTCTCCCATCGCAATGTGACATCGTAACATTGTAACCCTCCTGCAGCTACACTCGGTGCGCCGCTTATACGAGAACATCGTGCCGTCCCATACGGTGTACGACGTGGAGTCACCGGAGCACGTGATTCGCCGCTTCAGCCACGATGGGCAGTACCTCATCTGCTTCTCCCGCAACGGTCTTGAGCTCATCATCTACCGCTTCCACTGGTTCAAGTGAGTGATAAGTGCCCTTGACTAAGTCCTTGCCCCGCCGGCTCCACATGGGGCGTGCCTGTTCACCACTGGGCTGGGCGGTTCAGCCACGATGGGCAGTGGGCAGTACCTCATCTGCTTCTCCCGCAACGGCCTTGAGCTCATCGTCTACCGCTTCCACTGGTTCAAGTGAGTCTTTTCCATTCTTATCCTCGCCCCGGGTAAGCAACGGATGTAGCTACAGGCTACAGCTGTGCACCCCTGGGCCGGGGCGTTGGGGTGCTGTGCAAGGACCTTTTCCTCTGCTGCCAGGGGAGCGCTCTGGGCTCTGGGCTGGAAGGCTGAGTGAAATGACACATTTTCCCCTTCTCCTTTGCCCCTCTTCCACCCAGCTATGGCGCCCAGGGAGCAGCAGCGGTGGCGGAAGCAGAGGAGGACGACCACCTTCCAGCAGCTGCCAGGAAATTCCCGAGCTACTTTGAGCAGCTGTACTGCGCGCCATTGGGGCGGGGCAGCGAGGTGCTATGCAAGGACCTCTTCCTCTGCTGCCAGGGATCTGCCCTCGGGGTGTTTGCGTCTGCCACACCTGCGGATTTAGCCTCTCCACCTAGAGTGGGCGCAGTGAAGGGGGTTCCTGCAATGGAGAGCATCACATTGCACCTCGTGAGGTGAGAAGAGGGGAAGATTTTGAGGGTGATGGGGGATGAAACAAGATGTGTGTTGAAGCAAGATGAGTTGCGAGGTGCTATGCAAGGACCTCTTCCTCTGCTGCCAGGGATCTGCCCTCGGGGTGTTTTCGTCTGCCACACCTGCTGATTTAGCCTCTCCACCTAGATTGGGCGCAGTGAAGGGGGTTCCTGCAATGGAGAGCATCACATTGCACCTCGTGAGGTGAGAAGAGGGGAAGATTTGAAGGGTGATGGGGGATGAAACAAGAAGTGTGTGGAAGCAAGATGAGTTGCGAGGTGCTATGCAAGGACCTCTTCCTCTGCTGCCAGGGATCTGCCCTCGGGGTGTTTTCGTCTGCCACACCTGCTGATTTAGCCTCTCCACCTAGAGTGGGCGCAGTGAAGGGGGTTCCTGCAATGGAGAGCATCACATTGCACCTCGTGAGGTGAGAAGAGGGGAAGATTTGAAGGGTGATGGGGGATGAAACAAGATGTGTGTTGAAGCAAGATGAGTTGCGAGGTGCTCTGCAAGGACCTCTTCCTCTGCTGCCAGGGATCTGCCCTCGGGGTGTTTTCGTCTGCCACACCTGCTGATTTAGCCTCTCCACCTAGAGTGGGCGCAGTGAAGGGGGTTCCTGCAATGGAGAGCATCACATTGCACCTCGTGAGGTGAGAAGAGGGGAGGATTTTGAAGGGTGATGGGGGATGAAACAAGATGTGTGTTGAAGCAAGATGAGTTGCGAGGTGCTATGCAAGGACCTCTTCCTCTGCTGCCAGGGATCTGCCCTCGGGGTGTTTTCGTCTGCCACACCTGCTGATTTAGCCTCTCCACCTAGAGTGGGCGCAGTGAAGGGGGTTCCTGCAATGGAGAGCATCACATTGCACCTCGTGAGGTGAGAAGAGGGGAGGATTTGAAGGGTGATGGGGGATGAAACAAGAAGTGTGTGGAAGCAAGATGAGTTGCGAGGTGCTATGCAAGGACCTCTTCCTCTGCTGCCAGGGATCTGCCCTCGGGGTGTTTGCGTCTGCCACACCTGCTGATTTAGCCTCTCCACCTAGAGTGGGCGCAGTGAAGGGGGTTCCTGCAATGGAGAGCATCACATTGCACCTCGTGAGGTGAGAAGAGGGGAAGATTTGAAGGGTGATGGGGGATGAAACAAGATGTGTGTTGAAGCAAGATGAGTTGCGAGGTGCTATGCAAGGACCTCTTCCTCTGCTGCCAGGGATCTGCCCTCGGGGTGTTTTCGTCTGCCACACCTGCTGATTTAGCCTCTCCACCTAGAGTGGGCGCAGTGAAGGGGGTTCCTGCAATGGAGAGCATCACATTGCACCTCGTGAGGTGAGAAGAGGGGAAGATTTGAAGGGTGATGGGGGATGAAACAAGATGTGTGTTGAAGCAAGATGAGTTGCGAGGTGCTATGCAAGGACCTCTTCCTCTGCTGCCAGGGATCTGCCCTCGGGGTGTTTTCGTCTGCCACACCTGCTGATTTAGCCTCTCCACCTAGAGTGGGCGCAGTGAAGGGGGTTCCTGCAATGGAGAGCATCACATTGCACCTCGTGAGGTGAGAAGAGGGGAAGATTTGAAGGGTGATGGGGGATGAAACAAGATGTGTGTTGAAGCAAGATGAGTTGCGAGGTGCTATGCTATGCAAGGACCTCTTCCTCTGCTGCCAGGGATCTGCCCTCGGGGTGTTTGCGTCTGCCACACCTGCTGATTTAGCCTCTCCACCTAGAGTGGGCGCAGTGAAGGGGGTTCCTGCAATGGAGAGCATCACATTGCACCTCGTGAGGTGAGAAGAGGGGAAGATTTGAAGGATGATGGGGGATGAAACAAGATGTGTGTTGAAGCAAGATGAGTTGCGAGGTGCTGTGCTATGCGAGGACCTCTTCCTCTGCTGCCAGGGGAGTGCTGCCTTGCCTTGGGCTGAGGGCACTGGGCACTGCCTTGGGGCGGAGCAGCGAGGTGCTGTGCGATGACCTCTTCCTCTGCTGCCAGGGCAGCACTCTGGGCGTGTTTGCCTCGGCTACTCCGGCGGATTTAGCCTCTCCACCTAGAGTGGGCGCAGTGAAGGGGGTTCCTGCTATGGAGAGCATCACGCTGCACCTTGTGAGGTGAGACAGTTGAAGGAGCTGAAACAAAAGGTGCAAAGCTTGTGGTCTAAGTGATGTGCTGTGCTGTCCTGTTCTGCGAGGTGCTGTGCGAGGCGAGGACCTCTTCCTCTGTTGCCAGGGGAGTGCTGCCTTGCCTTGGGCTGAGGGCACTGGGCACTGCCTTGGGGCGCGGCAGCGAGGGGTGCTGTGCGAGGCGAGGACCTCTTCCTCTCCCATCGCAACCTCACCCACAACGGAGGGGGACGGAGGGAAAAGCAAGTCTCTCTTTCTCTACCTATCTCCTCCTCCTTCTCCCGCTCCCTGCTTATTAGGCTGTGCGACGGCAAGGTGGTGGACAGGAGGGTGTTTCGAGACGACTACATCAACCTCACCCACAACGGCGGGGCGTTTCTCTATGACGACCTGCTGTCTGTGCTCAGCATTCGCTTCCAAAGGATCCACCTCTTTCAGGTGAGGGGAGCGGATGAAGTTACTTTTCCCAATACAAAACGGTTACAATGTTTCTCAATCCGTTTCTGTGCGGCGTCCTGCTGTCTGTGCTCAGCATTCGCTTCCAAAGGATTCACCTCTTTCAGGTGAGGGTCAGCGAGGGTCTTGCTTTCATGTGGTGTGGCATGACCTGTTGCTGTACCACGACCTGCTGTCCGCACTAAGCATTCTCTTCCAGAGAGTACACTTGTTCCAGGTGAGAGTCTTTTATTGGACTCGACTGGTTACCACCATGTAACTCAATCCGTTTCTCTACGGCGACCTGCTGTCTGTGCTCAGCATCCGCTTTCAGAGAATACATTTGTTCCAGGTGAGCAGAGCTCAACGTTGGCCGGAGCAGTTGTGTGAACTTCACATTCACCTTGTTACAATGCCAAAACAGAGGGGCGTTCGGGTGCACCCACAACAGAGGGGCGTTCGGGTGCACCCACAACAGAGGGGCGTTCGGGTGCACCCACAACAGAGGGGCGTTCGGGTGCACCCACAACAGAGGGGCGTTCGGGTGCACCCACAACAGAGGGGCGTTCGGTTCGGGTGGGACAATGACGAGCTGATGCTCCAATCCCACTTCCACGAGGGGTGGCGCTTTCAGCAACCCTTTCGTTCTCCTCTCCTCTTCCCCACCACAGGTTGTGGAGGCAGCAGAACGGTTTGTGGCTGTGCAAGTGGTCGGGCCGTTTGGGTGTGACAATGACGAGTTGATGCTCCAGTCTCCCTTCCACGAGGGATGGCGCTTTCAGCTAGCACACTACCTTCCCTATCCTCTTCCCTTCTGCTATTCCATAGATAGTGGAGGCAGCAGAGCGGTTTGTGGACGTCCAAGTAATCGGGCCGTTTGGGTGTGATGATGACGAACTCCTGCTGCAGTCGCACTTCACCCCATGCCTCCCACCCTCCCTCCCTCCCTCCCTCCCTCCCTCCCTCCCTCCCTCCCTCCCACCCTCCCTCCTCCCTCCCCCCTCCCTCCCTCCCTCCCTCCCTCCCTCCCTCCTCCCTCCCTCCCTCCCTCCCTCCCTCCCTCCCCCCCCCTCCCTCCCTCCCTCCCCTCCCTCCCTCCCTCCCTCCCTCCCTCCCTCCCTCCCTCCCTCCCTCCCTCCCTCCCTCCCTCCCTCCCTCCCTCCCTCCCTCCCTCCCTCCCTCCCTCCCTCTCCACAGGTAGTGGAGGCAGCAGAGCGGTTTGTGGACGTCCAAGTAGTCGGGCCGTTCGGGTGTGATGATGACGAACTCCTGCTGCAGTCACACTTCACCCCATGCCTCCCTCCCTCCCTCCCTCCCTCCCTCCCTCACCACAGATCGTTGAGGCAGCAGAGAGGTTCGTAGACGTGCAAGTAATCGGGCCGTTCGGGTGTGATGATGACGAACTGCTGCTGCAGTCGCACTTCCACGAGGAGTGGCGCTTCCAGCAAGCACTCGCCTCCTGCTGCTCCTTCTCCCCTCACCACTTCCCCCCCTCCCTGCTTCCCTGATTCTTCCTGCACTGTCTCTTGGACAGGTAGTAGAGGCAGCAGAGAGGTTTGTAGACGTCCAAGTGATTGGGCCTTTTGGGTGTGATGATGACGAACTGCTGCTGCAGTCACACTTCACCCCATGCCTCCCACCCTCCCTCCCTCCCTCCCTCCCTCACCACAGATCGTTGAGGCAGCAGAGAGGTTTGTAGACGTGCAAGTGATTGGGCCGTTCGGGTGTGATGACGACGAACTGCTGCTACAGTCGCACTTCCACGAGGAGTGGCGCTTCCAGCGGCATTTAGCTGAGCTGAGGAGAAGGCAGGCGATGGGAGGGAGGGGAGGAGGTGGTGAGGGGAGTGGGGGTGTGGGAGCTGAGGAGGGGATTAGTGAGGGGGGTGTGGGGGGGTATACGGAAGAGGAGGGGGGGGTAGGAGAGGAGGAGGGGGAGGAAGGGGTGGAGAGGGGGGAGGGAGGTGAAAGGGGAGGATGGGAGGGGGGAGGTGGAGAGGAGGCGGGAGGGGGATTGGGAGGAGTGAGGGGAGGAGGTGAAAGGGGGGAGGGAGAGAGGATGGGTGACGCAGAGAGGAACGGCAGGAGTGTGGGTTTAGAGGGAAGGGCGGATGAAAGTAAAACGAGGGGAGGGGAGGGGAGAGAGGCGGATGAGAGGGGTCAGGGTGAGGGGGGTAGGGGTGAGGGGGGTAGGGGCGAGGGGAGTAGGGGTGAGGGGAGTAGGGGTGAGGGGAGTAGGGGTGAGGGGAGTAGGGGGGAGGGGGTGGAGAAGGGTATGGGACAGGAGAGGAAGCGGAAAGAGACGCACGGGCTGGGAGGAGGGTGTATGGATGGGAGGCAGGACGAACAGAGGGTGAAGAGGCCGAGATTGAGACTGGGAAGCGTGAGGGAGGAGGGTGTGGAGGGGCATGAGGGAGAGCATGGGATTGAGGAGCATAGAAGAAGAGAGGAAGCAGGGGGAGGAGGCGGAGGAGTGAGAGGAGAGAGAGGAGAGAGAGGAGAGAGAGGAGAGAGAGAAGAGGTAGGAGAGGCAAAGATAGGATCGGTAAAAGAGGGAGACGGGGAAGGAGGAAGAGGTGGGGAAGGAGGAGAATGGAAAGAAGTAAAGAGTAGTGGCAGAGAGACAGGGGCCACTGAAGGTAACGAGGGAACTAGAGGAGTGAGGGGAGAAAGCAGAGGAGGAGGAGGAAGTGGGGAAGGGGGAGGGGAAGTGGGCAACAAAAGTGACAGAGGGAGGGAAAGGGGAGAGGGAGAAATAGGAGGAGATAGAGGAGGAGCAAGAGGATTTTCCGGGGCAGTGGGAGGGGTAGCGATGAATGAGAGGCGTTATGGGGGGGAGGATAGGGCAGGGGGAGGAGGGACGGGAGCAGGAGGAGCGGGGCCAGTGGGAGGGGTAGCCATGTATGGTAGGCGGTATGGGGGGGAGGATGGGCGCCTGCTAGAGCCGCGCACATCAATGGGCCCCCCTGGTGGGGGAAGGGGGGGAAGAAGAGAAGGAGGGGGAGGGGGAGAAGGAGCAGGAGCAAGGGGAGCAGGAGGAGCAGGGGGAGCAGGAGGAGCAGGAACAGTAGGGGGAGCAGGAGATAGAGGAGCAGGGGTTGGGAGGGGTGGGGATGTGTGGATGCAAGGGGGTGCTGCTGCTCACAGCCTTACCGTGTCTACTTTTGGCTCTAGCCTCTTCAGCCTCTCGTATGGGCCGGACGGACAGGCATCGTTTCGATCACAGTCGAACACGGCCTCGCACACTCACTCCCACACTCACTCCCACACTCACTCTCACTCACACTCGCATGCCCACTCGCATGGACATTCTCACTCGCACGCTCACTCCCATTCGCACTCGCATGCGCATTCGCACGAGCGTGTAAGTGGGGGAATGAGGCACCACGTAGGGGCAAGCCCAGGGGGAGCAGGAAGAGGCGGCTTGCCGTTTTTCTTTGGAGCAATGGGAGCAGCAGCGGGGGGGAGAGGCGTGGGGGGAGGCACTGGGGAGGGGGGAGAGAGGGGGCTGAGTGGGAGGGCGCCTGGGTCTGGGAGTCTGGGAGGGGGGAGGGAGAGAGGGATAGGGGGAGGGGGGACTGAGAGGGAGAGAGGCGGCAGGGAGAGAGGCAGTAGGAGACGACGCAGCAGACAGATGGGGGAGAACGGCGGCGGGTCGGGAATGGGCGGCGGTGGGGCGGCGAGGTATGTTGTTAGTGACAGGGGGAATATTGAGGCGATAACGAGGCAGCAACTGGGGGGAGGAGTGGGGGGGAGGGGGAATGAGGGCGTGGGGGGTTCAGCAGAGGCAGGGGCAGGAGCAGGAAGGGTAGGGGGGGAAGGAGGGGCAGGAGCAGCAGGCGCAGGGAGAGGGGTGGGGGGAGGAGAGGGAGCAACGGAATTGGCAGGGGAAGGAGGAGATGGGGAAGGAGGAGATGGGGATGGATGGGGGAGAATGAGTGGTGGGGGGGGACAGAGCAGCTTAGGGCATGGTCATGGGCATGGGCATAGGGATGGGCAAAGGGATGGGGATGGGAGTAGACAAGTAAATGGCGCTGGTGGTGGTGGTGGTATTGGCGCTTCCAATGCTGGTGGTGCTGGTGGTGTGTCTGCTTCCCTGCCTGGTCCTGCTGCTGCTGCTGCTGCTGGTGCTGCTGCTGCTGGTGGTGCCAGGAGATTAGACGGCACTGCAGGAGCAGCAGGAGTAGGAGGAGGAGTGAGGAGGAGGAGGGGGAGGGGGAGGGGGAGGGGGAGGAGGCGGGGGGGGAGTGGGAGGAGGGGGGAGAGCCGGGGCTGTAGGGGGAGGTGGGTTCGGGGGAGGTCTGGTCAGGTCAGAGAGGGAAGGAGGGCGCGGGGAGGCGAGTGGGTGGGGAGACGGCGGGTGGATGTCGGGGGGGGAAGGGGAGGATGGGCGCATGAGGGGCATGGGCGATATGGGGATGGGTGGGGTTGGGTTGATGAATGTGGGGGGTCTACTCACAGGGGGCGGGTTGCTGAGTGTGCTCATGCAGCGGCTGCTGGTGCATGTGTTTGAGTGCCACCTGGGGGATGCAGTGGGGTCGAGTGCTGTGGGGTCTGGTTCGGTGGGGTTGGGAGAGCATCAGCAGCATGAGCGGTTTCAGGGGCTCCTGGGGAGGGCGGATGGCAGCAGGGGGGAGGAGGAGGAGGAGGAGGAGGAGGTGGTAACCAGCGTGTGAAGAGATTCCTGTACCACTTTCAGCACTACGCGGATCTGATCATCTGGAAGGTAAGCGGTCGTTCTGATACACTATGAGGGATGGGCGGGTCGCAACCAGCGTGTGAAGAGATTCCCATACCACAACACTAGCGCTTGTTTCAGTACATGGGATGGGAGGAGGCAAGGGGCAGCCAGCGTGTGAAGAGATTCCTGGACCAATTTCAGCACTACGCGGATCTGATCACCAGGAAGGTATGTGCGTGCATTGAGGTGCATTGTGGGGCATTGAGGGGCAGAAGGCAGCCTACTTCTGAGGCGCCTCAAACGACGAATTTTGAGACGATTTCTGAGGCGCCTAAAAAGACAAATTTTGATACGAATTTCTGAGGCGCCTAAAAAGACAAATTTTGATACGAATTTCTGAGGCGCCTAAAAAGACAAATTTTGATACGAATTTCTGAGGCGCCTAAAAAGACAAATTTTGATACGAATTTCTGAGGCGCCTAAAAAGACAAATTTTGATACGAATTTCTGAGGCGCCTAAAAAGACAAAATTTGATACGAATTTCTGAGGCGCCTAAAAAGACAAATTTTGATACGAATTTCTGAGGCGCCTAAAAAGACAAATTTTGATACGAATTTCTGAGGCGCCTAAAAAGACAAATTTTGATACGAATTTCTGAGGCGCCTAAAAAGACAAATTTTGATACGAATTTCTGAGGCGCCTAAAAAGACAAATTTTGATACGAATTTCTGAGGCGCCTAAAAAGACAAATTTTGATACGAATTTCTGAGGCGCCTAAAAAGACAAATTTTGATACGAATTTCTGAGGCGCCTAAAAAGTCGCCTAAAAAACTGAGGCGCCTCAAACATTGAGGGGCAGGGGGCAGCCAGCGTGTGAAAAGATTCCTGCTGCTTTCAATGGGCGCATCTGACAGCTTTCATGCGCCCATCAACCCATTGTGTCCCCTCTCTCGTGTGCTGTTTCTCCTCCTCTCATGGTTTGTCTCGCCACCAGGCTCAGCTGTTGGACCGCTGCCATCTGCTCATCCGCCTGGGCAGCACGGAGGGGGTGGTGCTGCGAGCATCTGACAGCTCCCACCAGAATTCATTTTTCACGGTCTACAACTTTGTGACAACACGTGTGCTCTGCTTCTATCAGGTATGTTAGCGGCGCCCTTCAGGTGTGGGCTCTGCTTCTATCAGGTATGTTAGCGGCGCCCTTCAGGTGTGTGCTCTGCTTCTATCAGGTATGTTAGCGGCGCCCTTCAGGTGTGGGCTCTGCTTCTATCAGGTATGTTAGCGGCGCCCTTCAGGTGTGGGCTCTGCTTCTATCAGGTATTTTAGCGGCGCCCTTCAGGTGTGGGCTCTGCTTCTATCAGGTATGTTAGCGGCGCCCTTCAGGTGTGGGCTCTGCTTCTATCAGGTATGTTAGCGGCGCCCTTCAGGTGTGGGCTCTGCTTCTATCAGGTGACTTGCTTGGTGCTCGGCCTGAGACTGGGAAATGTTCCAAGCACATCGCCCAGCTCCCACCAGAACTCCTTTTTCACGGTCTACAACTTTGTCACCACCAGATTGCTCTGAATCTACCAGGTGAGTAGACAGCGTTGCCTATATCCCCTTCCCTTGTATCAGGTGAGTAGAGTGCATAGCAGTGAGCGAGTCACTTGATTCAAGAGCATCTGACAGCTCCCACCAGAACTCTACCTGGTAACCAGGTACCTAGTTGATAACCAATTAACTTTAAAACGTCTGACAGCTCTCATCAGGACCCCACCCCACAAATTCTAGTTCTAGGTTTCATTATTAACTCTTTTCCCTCTGTTTTTTTCACACTGCAGAACTCGTCAGAGGAATTTTTCTTGGTGTTTGAGCATTTCTGCGACCACTTTCTAGTCGACTTAATGCCACCTATTTGGTTTCTCTCATTATTCCTTGCGTTGCAGAACTCTTCAGAGGATTTTCCGTCTGCGTTTGGGCACTTCTGCGACCACTTCCGAGTCGACTCAAATGCCACCTTCTGGTTCTCTCGCTCCGTATTTCTTGTGCTGCTGCTGCAGAACTCATCAGAAGATTTTCTCTCGGCTTTTGAGCATTTCTGTGACCACTTTCGAGCGCCGCCGAGGACCCCCGCAGGGTTTTCGTTCATCAGCAGCTGCGCCAACAACGTGTTTGCGCGCGAGGCGTTCAAGAAGCAGAAGGCTGCGCTTGTGACGTGCAAGGGCGGGTCACAGACACAGGTGAGCGAGCAAGAGAGCAAGCAAGCGCAGGTCCAACCCATGCTCGCCACCTGAGTAATTAGGTAAATACTTGGAGTCGATTTTCTAGACACGATTTTAAGGTCCCACACTACCCTCTATGTGTTCTTTCTGTCTCTGCAGGCAATCAAGCGAATGCTGGCTGGCTGTTCTACTATACAGTGCAGTGCAGTGTCAATCACCTGCTCATGTGCTCACTTTCTGAGTCGCTTTGGCCCCATTCTCACCCCCTAAATTTCTGGCTCTGCAGGCAATCAAGCGAATGCTGGCTGCTCTTCCATACAGCGCACAGACCTACTCCCCATCTCCCTACTTCGACCAGTCGCTCTTTCATTTCGATGAAAAGGTGAGGGCCAGCATTGGTGGGTGGGCGTAATTCTCTTTGTACAGTAACCCTCACTAGCATGCCTCCACCCTCACATGTATGCCTCCCTCCTCCTCCCACCGTCCCAGCTCACATCCTCGTCAGACCTGCACAAGCCCTGTGCGGAGCACTCAATCAAGTTCATTCTGCGACTTTGGAGTCGACTCGAATGTAATCATCACCACCATGCCTCCTCTCCTCCCACCGTCGCAGCTCATATCGGCGTCGGATCGGCACAAGCCCTGTGTGGAGCACCCAATCAAGTTCATCCTGCGGCGCCGGCCAAATGTCCTCAAGTTCAAAATCAACCCAGGTATGCTGAATGCCAATAATTTTCGGCAATCCCGGGCGGGTGTATTTCCGTTGGAACACCAGGTTTTCATGTCCCCTCTGATAAGCTGCAACAGGTCTCAGGGCTACAGTTCGTGTGTTTGTGTCCTGCTTCAGTCCGGAACATGCTAAACCATATTGTGATTTGGTTGATTTGATGCAGGTTACGAGTCTGCAAACCCAGATGCGCGGATAAAAAGAGTGGCAACATATATCTTCCATCCATTTCTTCCCTTCGCCATTTCAGTGCAGCAGACCTTTATGCAGCCTTCAGTTGTAAACTTCCATTTCCGAAAGTGAAGGCTGTGCAATGTTGTTTTCATGTGTGATCTTTTTCAAACGAAGTGCACAGTAATATCAATTGTTTAACCACTCTGCTCAGGATAGATATAGCCAATACGTAGCATAAGTACTGTGCACTGCCGACTTGGCAGTTGATACAAATCATATCTATGAAACAATTTGAGAGTAGATGTTGACGCTGCCAACAGGCACTGGAGAGAGCAAGCCAACCTCCATCACAACAACAAATTATCTCCTCTTGCGCCACACTGTGTGACCCTTGTTGATCTCTTTCTTGCTATCCTGAAGCCGCAGGATGTGCGAAAAGTGCTGAAGCTCTTCAGGGCTCTCTCGCTCCACCAGCGTTAACAAGCAGACACCTTTTGCCTCCTCGGATTCCTTCGACAAAAGGACCCCATCTGTGGTGGTGCACTGTTTGATGGCCTCTGGTTTGGCGGCTGGCACTGTGTGACTGGCCAGTGTCTCCACCATGTCATTCTGACTGCATTCTCGCCTATACTCAATGCTTATTTGAGCCAGCTCCGAGCTGTCAACAAGATCCTGAGGCAAACTCTGTAGGGGGGAATGATGAGGTTTGAAAGCGAAATGGAGAGGGAGAGAAGGTGAGGGAACGGCAAATAAATTAGGAGAGGTGAGTGAAAAGACTGGAACGTGAAGGAGGGCAAACCTGGGAAGTGAATGGGTTTTGGAAGAAAAACATGTACGAGATGTCCATTGTCATGGAGCATGTTCAAATGAACTGGCATAGCGAGGGGGATTCGAGTTTGTACGCTTACAGTTCATTCTTGGGCTCAGAATGGTTGCATCTAGTGTGAAACGGATTTTGTGCTTTACCGTTTTGCACTTCGACACAACCAATGAGACTGCAAAGAACGTGCAAGGAACGTACGAGTTAGATAACCCCTGAGGTAGCAACCACTTACTTCGAGCATCCATGCAATGTAAGTAACATTGTTGACATGCTGATTCATGTCCAAGTCACTTCTTCTGGCCTGCAAAAAGTCGCGGCAGCAGCAATGTGGCATTTTCAAGAAGAACCGCACAGGAAGGACTGAATTGATGGGACCGTCTAGTCAATAAACACAACATTGTGAACTTATGAATAGCGTTGATGCAAACAGCATGCTACGGAACAACACCATTTACAACAGGACCAACTAAAGCAACAGCACTCACACAGAGACTCGATTTGGAATGGTCAGCGGGCTCTTTGAGCTTCGGCAACTTGTCCACCGCGTCCGGAGGAAGAGCATACCTGCACAGAGAGGGATCAACAAATACTTCGCGTTTACTCCAAAACGTCTGAACATTCTTGGCGCAAAAGAAAGTCCCCGCGGGAGAAACTTACAGGGAAGGATTAGGGCAGTGAACAATAATCTCCTCCCACACATCAGACGGAATTCGAGCCAAACGACGTGTTTTGGAATTCATCATCACCCAGGAACTGCACAACATAGGTATAGACCGATTAGCCGACTATGAGAAAGAGGAAGAGCAGGAGGAAGTATGCATAGATAGTCACAAAATATTCTTACCTGGTGCCTCGGCCAATGACGTCACCAGAGTTTGACAACCGAATGATCCAGTCTCTCCGTGTCAATATGTTTGACTCTAACTGACACCACGTGTCAATTTCAACGACATCTCCCCTATTATCAGACAAGAACGAAAGGTGAATCCTACAATGAAGTCTGGAAAATGCATCAAGAGGCACAAGATGGGACTCGGAAGGTTAAAATGAGGCTCTGAGTACGATAATTGAAGTGTTACCAGGTTGGATACTTGTACATCTCGATGTGGATCCGAGTTGTTGCCCATATTAAGTTATGTCTCAGCATGCCTGGCGTGGTTGCCAGGCCGTCCTTAGAAAACCCAACGCTGTGAGCATGATTGGTCCCCACCTCCTGGAAGTCCAGCAAATGGATCACTTATATAAGCTTATGGCCCCTGACGGTAAGATTCATAAACTTAGACATTTTCATATTGAATCCTCTTACCTGCAATAAATTGGCGATAGTTTCTATAGACGCGGTCTTATGAACGCCGACTTCGTAACACCTGATGACGAATCTCTCTCGGTAAACACTCCCTCCTTCGAGCAGAGCTCCGAGCTGCTCGGAACCTCCCTCCGTCCAAATCAACCCTTCGTCAACGCCAGGTACATTGAATGAAGACGCATGTTCTTGGATCGGTGAGGAGGGTCGGCCAGCTATCGCGCCAGTCTCCGACTGTAGTAGCGGCGCTTTGACACTAGTCGCGGACGTGCTGTTTTTTTTCGAGGATGTGTTGCTCTTACCCAGAGACGTTACAATGGGAGAGGAACTGCCAGTGATCGCTACAGCGACAGACAAGGGCCCCTTATTATCTCGTTGCGAGCAGATCCGTCCTTTCCCGATAAGTGGTTGAGGTTGCGGAGCGATCGGCCGGGAGAGTGTTCCTACAAAATCCATTTTCAGTCGATGGCCGAAGCGCAGCACGGTTACGGGGGATCTTCAGCAAATTGGGAGTGGGAAAAAATCAGCTGAAATTCGTACGCCTTGAAGCCGATAAATCAAACAAATGGCGCTGAGTCTCGATTTGACTGCTTCACTGACGTGCTTTTAGCTTCCTGCTTCCATCGGCTCGTCAGTAAATGATTACAGTACTGCAAAAGCAGCCATGGGGTGGGGACCTGGTTTGCCTGCAAAAACTGCTTGAGAATGAAGATGTTGTAACCGAGCGACCAGATCGCCACAGATAAACAGCACACGATCCTAGCCGTCCAAACCGAAGGAATCTCTAGGCCGGTGTACCAAGGAGAAATGGCTGGCCCCTGGTGGTCCAGTACTTCCGGCGACCGAGCCTAGGGGGGCTGGCGAGCGGAAGAACGGAATCGAACCACAGAAACACAAAACATTTCCTAGATTTCAGCGAGTGCTGGCTTTGTGAAAATATCGAGGGAGATCACGGCGATGGAAGCAACGTGTGAGTGCGCTTTCCCCGCAATCTAGTGGCTCTGGGCCACGGCTTCCACACATTTCCTGTCTAGCATTCTTCGCCAGCCAATCAGTCGATCCCGAGACGCTGAGCTGTCGAGAAAGATTTGTATTTTTCGGTCGTAACAATGGTCACACCAACTACGATACAGGTCTAGCCTAGACCAAAACCACATGTTATTTTTTCCTGCACCATTCAAGAGTTGAACAATATAATAATAAATTTGTATGATTGCTCCATAGTGAAAATCTAATCACTCCACATGTCCGAGCTAGGTGAATGCAAAGCTGCTGCCATCCAGACTAAGCAAAGCAATCAACCAAGCCTACAAACTGTACGTATGACCATAGTTCTCTCTGCAAGCACCTTCTGGATGAAAATAGAGTCACAAATCTCAGCCGATTCTAACACTGCGACTGATGCTGGACCGAATACCCGTCGATTCACCGCCATAAGGAGCAGTTTCACGCTTGACATCACGCACCTGGCCCTTGCGTCGAACCACAGCATTCGCATGCTTGAGCTGTAACCACATAGAATTGAGAAACGACAGAAAACAACAAATGTTTGTTCAAGGAGCTGATGCGGGGGAGGAGGGAGAGGGATGACATTTGCAACAAGGACAAGCAGGGGAGAGGGCGGATGTAAGAGGGGAGTGGGAAACGTCGAAGTGGGAGAGGAGGGGGGGGGAAGAGGGTGGGGGGAGGAGGGAAGGGGGGGGAGGGTCTGCCAAGATTTGCATTTCATGCACTAGCATTGGCATACCTTGTACTTCTTGCGCGGGTTCTTGACAGCCTTGTTGCGGTGTGCTGTCAGGCCGCGATTCTTCTCAATCTGACGCAAAGGAAGGGATGGATACGGGTGGAGAATGGTGGGTGCATGGGGTGAGATTCCAATCGACTCAGAAATCACAGGAACAGATGGGCGCGCAAGGGTAGGTAGTGGAGGGAGCATGAAGTGACACAAGGATGGATGAGAGCGGAAGGATGTGAATACAAATTTGGATGCAAAGGACATACCTGGGAGGTGATTTGCCGGCGCCCATCCTCGTCCACTGATGGCTCTGCTTCAGGAATGAGGCCAGAGCTGCAAAGGACAGACAAGTGGGATGGGGAGACACAAGGAAGCATGCGAGCAGAAGGTGGTGAGTTCCTTCCTAGGTGGTGATTTGCCGGCGCCCATCCTCGTCCACTGAGGGCTCAGCTTCAGGAATGAGGCCAGAGCTGACAAGGAGGGGAAGGGGGGATAAGTGATAGTGGAGGGGAGAAGGGGCGGGGGGGGGGGAAGGATTTGAGTTGACTCAACGGTCACGGCTTCAGGAATGAGGCCAGAGCTGACAAGGAGGGGAAGGGGGGGATAAGTGATAGTGGAGGGGAGAGGGGGGGGGGGAGGATTTGAGTTGACTCAACGGTCACGGCTTCAGGAATGAGGCCAGAGCTGCGAGGAACAGAAAGGGATGGGGAGAGATTAGTAGAGTGTGAAGATCGGAACAGAAACACAAGTAGCAGAGAAAATAACAGAAGAAATATGAAGAGAGAGAGAGAGCAGGAGAGTCACGAGGAGTATTTGGCAGCCTTGGCAGACCACCGAGCCTTGAGATATCTCAGAATCTGGAGAGGCCTATTTTTGAGTCCACTCAGAAATCTGGAGAGGGCTTAGCATTTGATTTGAGGAATCTCAAAACGATGACAAGGACTCACGAGGAGTATTTGGCAGCCTTGGCGGACCGCCGAGCCTCCTGCATCTTCCGAGCCTCAGCGTAAAACTCGTCCTCCTCCCCTCCTTCCCCTCCCTCTCTCTCCCCTCCGTCCTCGTCTCCTTGGTCGAACCTTAGGTCTTCCGGGCCTCGCTTCCGGACCTGCTTCGCCACCACGCCTGCCTCGTAGGCTCGGCGGCGCTCACCCAGGTCGGGCTTCAAGGGGAGATCAGCATCGCCAGATATCACCTGACAAACGAGAGCATGGCATCAAAGGAGGAAGAATCAGGGAAACAATCAAGGTATTTTCACTTTACTATTGGATTCTCTTGAAATCACCATTCTTGAATCGCATCCATCCATGGCGCCTCAAGGGGAAATCAAATCAGAGTTTCCACATACATATCACCGAGAAAGGGAGAGCATAGTGCAAAAGGGATACAGAATCAAGGCATCTTGAATTTGCTTGTGGATTGGAACCAGTCAGTGGGGCATACATTGCCTGGTGCTCCCCTGAGGGACGTCATCTTGCCATGTTTTGAGTCGACTCAAAACACGGATTGGAACCAGTCAGTGGGCATACCTTACCTGCTGTGGAAAGTAGAATGTTACCTTACCTTACGGATTGCTGGGGAAAGTACATGCCATACCTTGAATGTGCTTGTGGATTGGAATCAGTCAGTGGGCATACCTTGCCTGCTGCTCCCCTGAGGGCCGTCATCTTGCCCGCCTCATGAATCGCCTCTGAAAGCTTGCCTCGTCACCCCTTGTACAGTCAGACTTGAGCGGAGTACTGAGCAACATACATACCTTGCCTGGTGCTCCCCTGACTGAAGTCATCTTGCCAGCCTCGTGAATCGCCTCTGACAGCTTGCGCGGCCGCAGCAGCGACTCCAGCATCCCAGCACTCGTCAACCCTCCTATCCCTCCCCGCTCTGCTGCGCCTCCTGCTGGTCCTGTGAGGCCTGCCTGAGCGCCCCCCTCCTCCCCTGCTGCCATGATGCCCGCAATATCATCGTCAAAATCATCCAGCATACCGGCCAGCCTGGTGATGGGAGAAGGGCAGGAGGAGAGAAAGAGGCAGGTGGGGCCATGGTGCTTTTCCTTTTCCTGCTCCTCATGCTGCTCCTGTGAGGCCAGCCTGAGCGCCCCCCTCCTCCCCTGCTGCCATGATGCCCACGATATCATCATCGAAATCGTCCAGCATACCGGCCAGCCTGGCAGTAAAGGGCAGGTGGGGAGAAAGGGTTAGAGGGGGGAGAAAGAGTTAGGTGGGCAGTGAAAGGAGCATGGACTTCTCAACTCCACCCCTGTCCTCCCCTGCTGCCATGATGCCATCCGATATGCCGGCCAGCCTAGTGACAGAGAGAGCTCACATGTTCTGGCTCCTCTTGAGTGGCTTGAGTCGTGTTTTGAGACTTCTCAAAGCATGCTGGTCAGCCTAGTGACAGAGAGAGCTCACATGTTCTGGCTCCTCTTGAGTGCCTTGAGTCGTGTTTTGAGACGTCTCAAAGCATGCTGGTCAGCCTAGTGACAGAGAGAGCTCACATGTTCTGGCTCCTTTTGAGGGCTTTGAGTCGCTGCTTCTCCCCGCGGTTGAGAGGCACGCGCGAGAACATCCGCTCCTCCTCCTCTGTTCAGAGGCACACCAGAGAACATCCTCTCCTCCGCTGCAGCCCTCTCCCTCAGAGTAATCTCAGCCACTCCATCTCCTCATACTCAGCTCAGCCCAATCATAAGGCCCCCATGCAAGACTCACATGTTCTGGCTCCTCTTTAGCGCCTTGAGTCGCTGCTTCTCCCCGCGGTTCAGAGGCACATCAGAGAACATCCGCTCCTCCGCTGCAGCCCTCTCTCTCAGCCGCTCCACCTCCTCTTCCTCAGCCCAATGTTGGGCCTACCCACACTCCATCCAAGTGAAGCCCAATGTAACCCTACCATCAACTCACATGTTCTGGCTCCTCTTGAGGGCTTTAAGTCGCTGCTTCTCCCCACGGTTCAGAGGCACGCGTGAGAACATGCGCTCCTCCGCTGCAGCCCTCTCTCTCAGCCGCTCCACCTCCCTCTCCATCTCCTTGCCCTCCACCATCATAGTCGAGGCGCCCTCCACCCGCATCTGCATGGGAAGGAGGGGGAAGGGAACGAGAGCATGCAAGTGTGAGTTAGCATCAGATGCTCCCTCCCTCTCTCTCAGCCGCTCCACCTCCCTCGCCATCTCCTTGCCCTCAACCATCATCGTCATCGCTCCCTCCACTCGCATCTGTGTCGGGAGAGGGGCGGGGGTTGCAGGAGGTTGCGAGCGTGGCGCAAAGTTTTGAGTCGACTCAAAACACAGCGGGTGGAGGAGGCTGCGAGCGTGGCCCAGTGTGAGTGTGAGTGAGTGTGCTCCATTCGATCCGTACAACCCCTGCTCCAGTGAGAGTGCAAAACCCCTCTCTCCAAGCCGTTCCATCTCATTGCTCTCCCCAGAATCATAGTCCATACCATCATCCATGGAATCTCACCATGAATAGCACACATTCTCACCTCTCTTGGCCGTCCCTCCACGTCTTCAGCCAGTTCCTTCACAAACGCGCTCCTAGCAGCGCGCCTCCTCGCCTCCCGCATCTCCCTCTCCTCATCCCTCCCATCCCTCGATCGATGCGTCTGCCTGCTGGCTTTGACACGACCATGTAAATGAAAAGAGTCCAACCAACGCACCTCTCTCGGTCGTCCCTCCACGTCTTCAGCAAGCTCCTTTACAAACGCACTCCTAGCAGCCCGCCTCCTCGCCTCAATGTGTCTGCCTACCTGCCAGATTACCTTACACACTGTCACTAACAAGTGTCTCACCTCTCTCGGTCGTCCCTCTACATCTTCTGCCAGTTCCTTTACAAACGCACTCCTAGCAGCGCGCCTCCTTGCCTCCCGCATCTCCCTCTCCTCCCGCCGCGCCCCCACCTCCCCGCCCTTCTTCCCCCCCTCCTTCTCCCCTTCCATAGCCATAGGCGCAATCTTAGGCGGCTTGTACACCAGCACCAGCACCACCAGCAGCAGCAGCACCATCCAGACCAGCAGCATCGCTCCCACCCTCTCCCCCATCGCCGCCACTTCCCCCGAGTTTTGACACTAGGAGGTTCGGGTTGGGACGGTGTTTCAGGTCGTCTAGTGAGCCTCCTGCCGTGGCCTCTGCTGCTGCCGCGGACTGCTTGCCAGGTGTCGCGCTGCGATTGGCCGAGGAGGCTAGCTTGAGAAGCTTCTCGATCTGATACTGCAGTTTCTTGTCAATAGGACGAATCTGGTTCAGAAAATGGGGGGAAGGGGGAGGGGGAACGGGGAGGGTCGGGGGAAGAGTCGGAGTTCAACTAGCCTAGAGACCATGGGGTGGTCCCTGACTGGTTTGCCCTCTGCTCTGAGCAGCAGGAAGAAGAGCAGACAGCAGCAGACCTACACACGGTGCCCCACACCCCAAGCCCACCTTTTCCAGGAACAATCGAAGCTCCACGAGGCGAGAGACCACGGGGTGGTCCCTGACTGGTTTGCCCTCTGCTCTGAGCAGCAGGAAGAAGAGCAGGCAGCAGCAGTAGTGCAGCAGCAACCCGTGCTTTGCCTCCAGGTAAGATACTCCATTTTCGGTCGCGTACTCTCCCTCCCGCACCTGGAGCAATCAAGGGCAGGGAGAGGTGTGAGTGAGAGTCAAGGGCGTAGCGTAGGGCGGGTGAGCTGCAACAGGAGGAAGCGTAAGAGCAGGAAGCAGGAAGCAGCACTAGTGCAGCAGCAGCAACCCGCTCTGTGAGTGCGCGTGCGTCCAGCTGACTCATCTCACCTGCTGCAGCAGCAGCAGCACTTTGGTGTTGAGCTCCTTGAGAGTCGTCTTGCGAAAAGGCGATATAGATAGAGCGATGCCGCACACTCACAAGCAGACACGCGTGCTGTGAGCGAGTGTGAGTGTACTTGCAGCTAACCCAGACCCAGCTCACCTGCTGCAGCAGCGGCAGCACTTTGGTGTTGAGCTCCTTGAGAGTTGTTTTGAGATCCGACAGTAGACCCACCAGCTCTGGGGCGTCACTGCAGGGCAGGAAAGGGGGAAGAGAGGAGGGACGGTTGTAGGGTAGGCGTAAGGGACGGACGGACGTGAATAAGGGAGAACACATAGCAAGCAGCACTTAGTGTTGAGCTTTTTGAAAGTCGACCGATCAGCACCGCATCCCACCACATCTAACCCTGTCTCACCGCATCTGACTGTGTCGCGCCGCATACAACCCCGTCTCACCACACTTCACCGCATCTCACCTCATCAGCGCAGCCATCTGCTCCTCCTTTGTCAGCAGACTCGCATCCTTCACTACCCGTTCCACCACAGCCGCTCCCCTCCCCTTCCTCTCCAACTCCTTATCACTCCGCTTATCACTTCCCTTATCACCCTTCTTCCGCCCCTCCTTCTCCACCTTTTCTAACATCGTTTCCTCTCCCTCCTCCCCTTCTTCCTCCTCCCCTTCCTCCTCTTCTCCCTCCTCCCCCTCCTCTTCTCCCTCCTCCTCATAATCCTCCACCCTCAACCCAGCTGCAATCTGCTGCTGCAGCCTAAGCGCCTCCTCCTCCTCCTCCTGCGCCCCTGTCTCGCCCTCCATATGCAACTGCATGACATAGAGGGAGAACGATGCCCCACCAGAGGGTTTAGGAGCAGACCCGTTATAAGCCTCTTTCTCATAATCCACATCATCCGCACTGTCGTACTCCCGTTTCTGCTGCCCCCAGACACCATACCCACTTGAAGCAGTCCCGTTATTAGCCCCTTACCTCATAATCCACGTTATCCGCGCTGTAGTACTCCCGCTTCTTCTGCCCCCAAAGCGCCCCCTCCCCTTCCTCCTCCTCCTCCTCCTCCTCCTCCTCGTCCTCCTCATCCTCCTTAACACCCCCAAGCTTCATCCTCAGGTACTTGGCCTGTTTCTCCACTGTAAGGACAAAAAGAGACAAAGAACAATAGAACTAAATACATCTTATCTTATGCATGTATATATTTGAACTTCATAAGCTTCACTCCCCCATGCTTCATCCTCATGTACTTGGCTTGCTTCTCTACTGTAGGCAAACAAATGTAAAGCGTACTGAAAGGTGTAGGTGTATCCATGTATACATACAATCTACATATGTGAAGCTACTCTATATCGGGGATGGCAGGGTGACTCACTTTTAGCAGCAAGGCCCGAGAGCTGCATATCTGCCTCCACGTCCTCGTCAATATCCTCGTCATCGTCCTCCTCTTCACTGTCTTCGGCGCCCTATAACGAATACAGAGTGTTACGGGGGAGGACGAGAAGGATAGGGGGAGCGGAACAGGGGGTGTGGGGAGAGTGGGGGAAGTGGGAGGAGGGGGGGAAAGTTGGGGCTTGGGGCGGGAAGAGGCAAGGGGGAACGGGTAGATGATAGACGCTGAGGGAGTAAACAGACAGTCTAATTGCTTGATTTCTAATGAAGCGACGTTCAAAGGCACAATGCAGCTTGCTGCTACGTCCAAGCTACGTTCAAGCTACGTTCATTCACATGTTGATAAGAACAACGCATTGGGTTTTTGCAAACACGAAAGCACACGTTATCGTTACAAGACGAAACTCACCTTGATGTCCATGACAGCCGCGTTAAGATCCGCATCGATATTATCATCATCTTCCTCGAATTCTGCACCAAGAGAGAGCGAAGCACCAGGGGAAAAGGAAAAAAAAGAAAGAAAGAAAAGAAGAGTTTATCCTGACGAAAAGGAACGAACCATGCTAACATGGTTCCTTCGCCCCAGTGGGAACGACACATCCAGCAACATGGTACTACCTGGGTAGCACAACAACGGCAGAACAAATGGGTGTGAAGAGAGATGAAGCGCATAAAAGATAATGGGTCGAACGCGAAGAAGTAACTTACCGTCATCCGCGTTAAGAGGAATTATATCCCGCTGCTTGTGAACTGCGATTAACGAGACGGGTGGGTTTGGGTATAAAAAGGGAAGTTACAAGCGGACACGTGGAGGAGCAACGGACAAGAATCAATCAGGGGTTTGGAGGCGTCGATAAGAGGGGGTCCAGGGCTCAGGGTTCTGTGAGGAAAAAGCGTGGAACAAATGTTAGTAAAGGACGACTAAAAGAACGAGCGTTTAGTAACGAGGTAACTGTTGCCTGGTTTACGAGCCGCAACCAGCCCTATTAACGCCATCGGTTTGAAGGAAATGATACACACTGCCTGGTAGCAGGGTTCTGGAGATAAATCAGGACAATAAGTTCGCAGATGCCAGGACACTAATTAAGGACAATAGGAGCCGTACAATCGTCAATCTCGTCTTCGAAGTCTTCGCGAGTCAACCCCATGTTCGGATCTCCGCGCCTCCCTCCCCCTCCGCCTCCCCCCTTCGCAAATCTCCCTCCCCTTCCGCCTCCGCCTCCGCCTCCCCCGCGCTTCTTTCCGCTTCCAGAACTCTTCGCTTTCCGCGCCATGCTAACGGTGGCTCAGTCTGAAAGCAGATTAATGACCAACGATTCTAAGCCGAAGTTTAGCAAAAGTCGAGCTTTGAGTCACCTGGAGAACGGGTTACTCTGGAAAGCGAAACACGAGCACCGCACGCGTCGCTCGCCTAGAAAAATCCGGCAAAGGAGAGAGTGCGCGAAGGAACGTGACCGACGCTAGCGTCCTGCTGGATATGGGGGAACACGCGAAGCTAAGCCTAGACGATAGCAACTAATATGCGCGGAAAACAGACGTTGGCCTTGGTTGGTGCCTTGAGGGAGAGAGGTTTGTCGTATGCGGTATACGCAGGACGCATGAAAGTCGCGACTCTCTGGCGGTGCAGAATGTCAACCTTATCTAAAAAAAAAAAATAATTCCAACAGCTTGTGATCAAATGTTTGATAACCAATTTACCACTCCTGAATTATGGTACAATCATAAATTGCTGAATGACAGACTACCCGACTACCTTTGAAATAAAACGTTCTTTTTATGTTCATGAGGAATGAACAATATGACATCTACTCCAAAAACTACTACCAATAGAAACACTATCAGCACCGTAATACGGTCTCACTTGGAAGATTTCCAAGGCCTCCACCTCCAAAACGCCTTCTTCTTCTCCCCGGAGCCAGATTTCCCTTCCAAAGCTTCAACCTTCACTCCTCCCAGAAATTGGGTTTCCCGGGCCTTCACAACCAGAGCAGCGGCCTCCTTTGCACATGCTTTCTCGCTCGCGCAGTCTGACGGCGTGGCAGGGCGGTTGTTGCGAGCATGTAGAAAGGAGGTGAAGGAGCCTGCGACTGACAAGGGTGATGGCGGGCTCACCGAGGGTAGTGTGGTGGATGAGCCAGCACCTGTTAAAAGGAGGGACGCAGAAATAAAGTCGACAAAACAAACAAAGCAAACTGGTGGGTTGGCACTTTTCTTAAAGACAGTGAAACCAGAATTGCATGTGAGACTTCCAAGGCGTTTACCCAAGACAGCATCAATGCAAGCACATTGAAGTCAGGGTACAAGGAGAACACACCTGAATTTTCTGTCTGGTCATCTGATGCAACGGAGGCAGCAGTTGGAGGAGAAACCGAAGCAGAAGGGGACGCAGAAGCAGGAGGAGACACAGAAGCAGGAGAAACCGAAGTAGGAGATGCAGAAGCAGGAGGAGACGCAGAAGCAGGAGAAACAGAAGCAGGAGGGGACGCAGAAGCAGGAGAAACAGGAGCAGGAGGAGATGCAGAAGCAGGAGACGCAGAAGCAGGAGAAACAGAAGCAGGAGGAGACGCAGAATCAGGAGAAACAGAAGCAGGAGGAGACGCAGAATCAGGAGAACCAGAAGCAGGAGGAGACGCAGAATCAGGAGAAAAAGAAGCAGGAGGAGACGCAGAAGCAAGAGAAAGAGAAGCAGGAGGAGATTCAAAAGCAGGAGAAACAGACGCAGGAGGAGAAACAGAGGCAGGAGGAGAAACAGAGGCAGGAGGAGAAACAGAGGCAGGAGGAGAAACAGACGCAGGAGGAGAAACAGAGGCAGGAGGAGACGCAGCACGTGCAGAACAAGCAGAGGCAGAAGCAGCATTAGAAACAACAGCGGCAGAAGAAGTAGCAGCTTCAGCACCAGCAGCAGCAGGTGCTGGAAGTTTTTTTGTCTTCAAATCACCCGCCTCCTCCGCCGCTTCCTCCTCTATCTCGCCGCACTTGGCGAAGGTCACTTTAGACGATCTGCGCCGGCCTCCCTTCACACCGTCACCACCACCACTGCTGCCTGTGCTTGCTGCTGCTGCTGCTGCTGCTGGCTCGAATCATTACCCCACCACTTCCTCCCCCACTCTTGCTCTCAATAGCCATCTCCCCACTGTCACCACCACCATCACCTCGACTGCTGCCGCTTTCGCTTGCACTACTGCGCAGCAGCGTCTCTCTTCCATGAGGGCTTGTGATCGATCCCTTCATCACACTCCTGAGGGCCACTGCAGCAGAAGCAGCAGGGGTGGCAGTCCCAGAGGAGGCGCTTCTGGCAATTGAAGTGGAAGGAAAGGCACCCTGGGCAGGAGAAGAAGAGAAGGCAGCCTGGGCAGGTGAATTAGCATAGGAGGCATGGACTGGGGAGGAGGTGAAGTTGGACCGTGAAGGGGAGGGACGAGAGAGGGCTGAGTGGGCAGGGGAGGAGGCATAGGCTCTCTGGTTGAAAGGAGTGGCGCTGGTGGCACTTTGAATGCCAGATGTGTGAGGAGAGGCAGCAGCAGCGGCAGCAGCAGAGGCAGAGACATGGAACTTTCTTGAAAAGCCCAGCGTGTTGTCGTCCTTGTCCTCTTCTGAGCTCGACCCCTCGTCATACTCACCCTCCCGAGAATCACTCTCATCACTATCACCACCACTCCCCTCCCCACCTGCCCCCTCCAATCCTCCCTCTTCCACACTCCACATCACCCCAGCACCAAAGAATGCCTTTTGCCGCATAGTGCTCTTTACTCCACCTCTTTTTGCTCCCTTCTCTCCCCCTGCCTTACCTGCCCTCATAGCATTATCCCTACCTGCCCTGCCCCCCGCCGGAGCTGTTGCCGAACCTAGTGCAGCTGGCCCCAGAACAAGGGGAGAGGTTTGGGGGGCAGGCGATGGGTAGGCATGATGAGAGGGACTTGGAGACTGATAGCCTCCACCACCACTGTAATGAGTTGGGCTGGGGGCATAGTAAGGAGGATTTAGTGTAGCTGTCTGGGATGGACTGGCAGCAGTATAAGAAGATGCGTGGTGAACTGGACTGTGACTGTAATGGGAGGAGGGACTGGGGCAGTAACGGTGAGAGGGGCTGGGACTATAAAGAGAGGCAGAGGAGGGGGCTCCTGGGTGTCTGGGGCTGGAGCTGTACATGCCAGTGGCACTAGAACGAGGGGTGGAAGGATTTATCACATATCGTGGGCTTGATGTGCATCTATTGGGAGAAGATGGAAATTGAGCCAAATGAGGAGCTGTAACTTGATGCACTGTAGAATATGCAGTACTGTGCATTGAGTTATGCGAATAGGCACTGTTACTGTAGTGAACGGGGGTGGACGCGTAATGTACGGGGGAGTTGGGGGGGTGGAGGGGGGAACTCGGAACCGAATTCGACATCATCCGCGATGCCGCAACCGCTGCCGCGGCAGCTGCGGAGGCCCTCCGCCCTTCCCCTCCCGCTCCGCCACCCCCTCCCTCTCCTCCGAACCTCCCGCTCCCACTGTACCCATACGCAGCACCACTTGGAGTGTAACCAGCATTGGCGAAGGGGATTCCTGTAACAGTTGCACTTGACCTTCCGAGTGACCTCACTAAATCCCCATTTAGTGACATAGCGGTTTGAGGTACAGTAAATGCACTGTACGCGGAGGAAACAGAAACAACCGAACCTGGCGCAGCTGGAAATCGACTCCCACCAAATCGCGGACTTTCGGGCGCACCCGACCTACCCCTTTCTGAACGTGAGTCAGAGCCAGCTTCGGCAGCTGCAGCAGCGATCGCTTGCAGCCGAGCCGCTGCCGCTTCGGCGTCCAAAACACCTCTGCCTGACCGCGCTCCCCGCGAATCTCCCCCAACGACTCCCCCCGCGTGGTGGGCGGGGGAGCAAGGAACCGAGCTGTAAAGCCGAGAAGAAACGGGAATCGTTTTGTTCGCGTCCCCAGCAGCTCTCTGCTGCTGCAGCAGTTGCTGCGGGACTTGCGCAGACTTCTCCGCCGGTGCGCGCGGTGACGTAAGTCCCAGCACCGTGCTCCCCACTCCGAACCCCCCCTCTCCGCTCTTCCGCGCGGATCCTGCGCAATCCTTGGGTTTGCTCGCGGCGGTGCTCTCGGTGCTGCTCGCGCGGCTGCTGTTGCTCGCGCTCCTCCCCTAACCGTCCTCCCCTTCCGCAGTGGTTCCCCCTTGCGCAGGGCCGGCATTACTGCCGGAAGAAGCAGTAGACCCGGCTGACGTGGAAGAGCGCGGCGATGACGTGGACGCTGACGCGGGAAGCAGTTTTCTTGGGTCGACTCCAGTCGGCAGCGATAAGCTCCTGTTTTCAGGGGAGAGTCCTCCGCCTGAGATATTCCCGCTTGAGATACTTCCGCCTGCCGAGGCTTTGCTTCCGTCCCCAGCGCCGGTTGTAACATTCGCGCCGACAGGAAGCGCAGCAGCAGCACAAAGAGACGCTATCAAAGCACCAGCGACTCTCGATATAAGCACGTCCGAGCTACTAGCGGGGATGGAACTTGGAGTTTTCCCACCCACCCTTCCGCCTTTCCCTTCATCTTCCCCGTCGCTTCCGCTGCTGTCGCTCTCGCTAGACGACAAAGAAAGGGGAGATCTCGGTAAACGGCTGGAAAGCGGATCGGGTAACGACAAAATCGTTGAAATTTCACCAAGGCTTCTAGCCCCGCTGATTCCACCAGGTCGCGGGTTCGAGTCCAGCCGGGCGCATTCTTTCTCAAGCTCGTTCTGCAGTCGGCCCGTTTCGACATCCCACAGAATCCGATCGATGACTCCAGCGGCCACGCGCCGCACGTGCGCATCCACGCCGCCCGCCATCCGCAGAACCCAGCGGCTCGCGTCTGTTCCGCTCAGCTTCACCGACAACACCAGCGCTCCGCGCGTTCCGCTCCCGTCACTCGCACGCCTGCGCCACCGCTTCACCAATTCATCCTCCGCACGCTTTCCGCTTGCCGCAGCGCTCGCAGCTGCTTCTTCCTCCTCGTCAACAGTTCCTGTTACCACATTCGCCAGGATTTCGTCCATCCGTAGCGCCAGCAGCACCCGCGACAGGACCTCGAAAAGCGCGTCGCTCTTTTCCGCGTCCCACGCTCCCTTCAAACCAACCGCTTCCCTCTTAGCTTGCGCCTGCGCTTGCGCACGGTCACCGGGCGCAAAATCCTTCCCCGCGCCAGCGGCGACCACGCAGAGATCCAGCCACTTGGCAGCGAGCTGCTGCCTCCTCAACGAGGCTCCCCCGTTACAGTCACCACTCGCTCTACTCACGCCCGAGACCATAGCTCCGAGACTACTGCTTGTGGGAACAAACTCCGCTGCCCATGGAAGCGCGAACCCGTTGAAAGGTAAGCCCTGAGAGCTTGTAACTTGAGCCTCTGTGCTGTCGCCATCTTTTAACGCGGACAAGAAGAGGAGATCCAGCAGCATCTGTCGGCAAAAGCGGTAAAACTGTATGAGGTGCGGCTGTAAACGGGCAAGCTTATAACGAGTCCTTTCGAGGACGGATGTTGGGCTTCCCGAACTTCCGCCACCTTCCGCCGGCAGTCGTGGAAGCTTCTTGGATGCTTCATGGCCGCCTGACGCGATGCCCCTCGATTGCAACCGTTGCTTGAGCGACTCGAACTTGGACGGCCAGATTGCGTTTTCCTGAAGCTGACGTGTCAGATCCTCCAGCGTAAGTTGCTGAAGCTTCCGCGAAGCGGCGACGTAAGCAGTAAAAGCGGGAGCGCGGGAAGGGAGGCCAATCCGATCCGCCAGATCCTCCCCCGTCACTGCCACGTCAGCTAGATATCCATTCCGATAACGTGTCGTCGATTCGGACCGGTTTCCGAGCTGGTAGTTGCGACGAAGAGTGTTCGCGATAACGAGCGCTCCGCCATCTTCTACGCAGTGCTCGTCCGCTGCGGTTTGCGCTTGCTGTCCCCCTCCCTCGGTTTGCGCGTTCTCCGCGTGGCGGCCGGCAGAAGCACTGCCACCAGGCCCGCCCTGGAACGAATAAGCTCGCACGAGCACTTCGCCACCCGCGCCATCGTGGCGAACCAGCGACACTTTTGGAGACGCTCCTTCGCGAACTTCGCGATTATCGCCGTCGCTCGCTGACCCGGGTAGTCCGCGGTTGTAGAGGAGGAGGCTCCCGTGCACCTTGGGGTCGGACAGTTTATCGCTCAACCACGTGTTGGGCAGAGGAGAAAACACCGGCGGCGGCGGAATCGAAGCATTGCGCGGAGTTTGTGGCGACGTTTTAGGTGCCAGAGGCGCCGCGACACTCGGACGCGGAACTTTCGGAGACGCGAGGCGAGGAGGCAGGGGCGAGGCGCCTAACGGCCGAGTGGTTAGCCCGCCAGCACCCGACAGAGTGCCGCTCGACGGGGACGTTCTCGGAGCTTTCGGCGAAGCTGCAGGAGCTCCGGTTGCAACTCCGTTCGCGCCACGGGGAGCTCTGGGAGAGGGGCCAGAAGACGTGGCCGTTGCTGATTGGGAGTAACGGCGGTCCCAGCCTATGGGAGTAACTGCCGTCATGGCTCCACCTACTCAATTTACTCGTAAAGACGCGAGCAGGGGCTCTAGGAATCGCGGATTATCTTATCCTTCTGTGGAAGAATAATCAGGTCTCAGTACTGGGGCTCTGTTGAGAGTATACGGCCCTGGCTGCAGCAGTAGAAGTAGTTATCGCTATGGAAACTAGCTCTCACAGACAGGCGGACGACACATACTGTCGACAAGCGTTTCATGTCGGGACGCCACTGATTAAAAGTAGTGGTGCAAGAAAAGGCTAGTGCGTAACTCACAAACAATTTATACAAGGAAACGACTGCGAAGAGAATGTGACAAGAGGAGGTCGGCAAACCCGAAGCTGGACTAGACACGACAGCAACAGATCGAAGCATCCAGAGCGATGAGAGTGATACGGGGAGAAGGCGGATTGGTTCGGAGGCGGGGACGGGAAAGGTGGGAGGAAAGAGGGGCTCGATTAGGGGTGACGGGAAAAGCAGCAGGTGGTTCACAGGCGCAGCCCCAGTTTGCAAATCGCGTCGCGCCTCAAGGGGCCGAAGGAAATTTGTTGCGGTGCAGAACAGGTTGGGCCGCGTCGCCGGACGATTTCTTGGGAGAATCTACGGGTGGAAGGAGATATTCGAGGCGCGCCAAATCGGAACCGCAGCGCGCGGGGTGCCTGTATTTAGAGCTCTCTCGCCCAATCAGCGTCGCCCACATGCTGTCAAGTCAAGAAACACTGTGACGGGCGCAAACATCAAGCACAACTGGGTAAGGGGTGTGTGTGTGTCGACATCAAGGCAGAATTTCTCGCTTACAGGCGTTACATGCATCGCTATTGACGACGGTTCTTTCCCAAATAGCCGACGGTGGTGATTGTGGCATGACGACATGTGCTGTTGAGATCAAACAGCACGACATGTACTCGGTTTCGCGAGCGAGTCCCACTAGCCCCCCCCGCCGCGAAGGTTGTTGGAGGAGCGGCGGAGCCATGGTTTGTTCGAGTCCAAAGCAAGAGGCGCTTGGCGCCCCACCAGCGGCACGCGGTACGGGGCAAGAACAAGCGCAGCCGTCACCGTGCCAGTTCTGCGCCCCGACGGAATGGGCCGACATGAGCGTGAAGTGAAGTGTAGTCAATGGTGTATAATCTTGTTGGCTATTATTTCACTTACTGAGTCAACAAGTGCTCTTATTGTGGATGACGTAAATCCTCATCTATTATACAAATTTGGTGTTTTACTTCTTTAAAGTGACGGTGCACATTCCTAGGGGTGGCTTTTGGGTGTATTGTTAGTGCACATCCTCTGGCACACGCTGATTCGAGGACGAATTTTGCAGAGGGGGGGTACGGCTAGTGCGAGGGATTGAAACAAGGCAGGCGACGCCTACCTATTTCGTTTGAGTTTTTGGTTGGGGGGATACACCGCGAAAGGGCGGAAAGGGCGGAAATCAATCGCGGAAGTGAGAAGCAAGCGGATGTAATGAAGTGAGTCAATCAATCAAGCGAGTCATAAACCAGTGATAGCTTCAACTCCAAATCGTACAAACCACACAACTCAAGAGATGGCAGCCGCTGCGAGCACTCGCTAAGCGCCACAGCGAAATCGCCCCCCACGTAGGAGGTTCGTTCTTCCACGTGTACATGGTTTAGCCTTTCCTCGCACGTGAATGGCGTCATCGCGGCATGCGCGCGACGTCGTCGCCTGCGCGGTGCGTCGTTTTCTTGCCCTCGCTGCCTCCTCGTCGTTTCGCCACGTCACATCCTCGACGGTTTTAGTAAGCCGTCTCCTCTCGCCTCACCGCAAAATGCGCCATCCTGCGCAGAATCACGCCCCCGCCAAGTCAGCTCCAGTGCTGCCTCGTCTCCTCACTGCCGCCCAATCGCAACATCGCTTTCCCATCTCCACATCGCCTCCACAACACCGACTGGGGCATAGCGCGATGAAATCACGCCTAAAACGCCGCCTCGTAGCCACATGCCTCGCTACCACATCGCCACTACGTCGCCGCCATATCGCGAGCTCTCCGCGTCGCCGCCTCGTCGCCGCCATATCGCGAGCTCTCCGCTTGGCAGCCTCATTTAGCGAATTACTTGCGGCCTTATTTTGTGCTCCAGCGCCCTAACTCCTTAGCTCGTCCGAAATCGCAGAACTTGCCGCCACCTGTTCCCGATCCCTACTCGCATGCCATCCGGAAAACACACCACCATGTCGTCGCGGCACGGTGAGATCATCCTCACCTTTCTCGGTGAGCTTCTCGAGCTTAGGGGTTTCATCTCCTCCCCCCATCTCTCATCCCCGCCTCCCCAACACGCCTCCCCTCCTCCCATCTCTCATCCCCTCCTCCCATTGCTCCTCCCCTCCTTCCATCTCTCATCCCGTCCTCCCCTCTTTCATCCCCTCCCTCCATCTCTCATCCCTGCCCCCCCAACACTCCTCCCCTCCTTTCTTCTCTCACATCCCTGTTAACAGAACTAGGCAAGAATGGGTGCATTGAAAGAAACAAGTAGCTAACCCTAGTTGGGTTTGTACCCTGTATTGGCTACCCCACTACAGCCTACCTACATATAAATAACACATTACAACTTAACACACCCCCATAGGCAAAGTGGGGGAGAGCAAAGGGTCACAAGACCAGTCCAGCAAAGTAAAAAACAAGCCCAGGGTGGATCACAACGTCACCACACTCCGAGCACAAACAAAGGCCACAAGGCTGTGTCAGAGGTCCACTGGGGATCCCCGATGATCCTAGGGAAGGGTTACAGGCACGTCGGCCTGGGGGGTTATGGGCGCACTCACCCGCTACACAAACAAGCCCTTTTATCCCAGTGGTTAGTGGCTGGGATTCTGACATGGTATCAGAGCGAAGGTCTCGGGTTCGATTCCCGGTGTGTGCACTTCGGGCATCCCAGTGCGGGGGGGTGTCAGAGGTCCACTGGGGATCCCCGATGATCCTAGGGAAGGGTTACAGGCACGTCGGCCTGGGGGGTTATGGGCGCACTCACCCGCTACACAAACAAGCCCTTTTATCCCAGTGGTTAGTGGCTGGGATTCTGACAAAGGCCAGTTCACATGTAGTGCTAGATATAGAACAGGACAAGCAGCAAGACAAATATAAAGTACAGTACAAAGAATGTCAAGCAGTGAGCAAGTGAGGAAACGTGGACACAAGGCCTAAAGAAGTACAGTGCCGCTGATGATCACTAGGCGGGAGCGCCTTGGTGAAGATATCAGCAGTGTTGGCCTTCGAGTCCACGTACACAAGCCGAAGCTGACCGCGCTGCTGAAGCTCTCGAGCAAGAAAGTAGCGAAGAGCAATGTGCTTCGTCCTGTGCTCCAGTCTGTGCTCCTGACACAAGGCAAGAGCCGCCTTGTTGTCACCGTACAGAACTGGAGGAGAACTAGGCCGCTCTCCCAAGTCAGTCAGCAGGTAGGTGAGCCAGCGTAACTCCTGTGCAGCCATGGCTGTGGCGTAGATCTCAGCCTCACAACTAGAGCCGAGAACAGAAGAAGAGCGGGTGGACCGCCACGAGACAGAACCAGAGCCAAGGCTGAAGGTGTAACCCTGTGACGACCGCTGCGTAGCCAGGTCGTCCACCCAAGAAGCGTCCGAGTGACCAGTGAGGACAACTCTGTCGCGTCCTCCAAGCACCAGCCCCATGCCTGATGTACTGCACAAGTAACGCAGCACCCTCTTAGCAGCCTCCCAGTGCTCTCGCCTGTGTCTCCCAGGCGCAACGTAGCGAGCAAGGATGCTAAGTGGGTACGCGAGGTCAGGTCGCGTGCAAGTCATCAGGTACATGAGGCAGCCTACAAGCTCTGGGTACGGGCCACTCGGCTCTACGGACTCGTCCGAAGGTGGAGCTGAGAGCGAGTGGCTGGTAGCCAGAGGTGTGGCCTGTGGTGAGGAGAACTGGAAGCCGAAGCGCTGAAGGACCTGCTGCACCATGTGTAACTGAGTCAGGGTGATGGTGCGGCGAGCTCTGTCCCGGGTGATCTGCAAGCCAAGGTAGCTACGCAGTTCACCCAGGTCAGTGCAGGTGTGTCTCTTCTGCAGCTCCGACTTCACACGAGCGAGTGCCTCAGTGTCAGCAGTAGCAAAGACCAAGTCGTCGACGTACACGAGAATGTAGAACGGCGGCAGCGACGTGTCTGTGCGCAGAAACAGCGACGGGTCAGCAGTAGACGGCGCGAACCCAAGAGCCGCAAGTGTAGTCCTCAGTGTGTCGTGCCACTCATGTGGCGCCTGGCGGAGACCGTAGACTGGCCGGCGGAGGCTCCACTGGGTACCAGGAGGAAACGACCCAGTAAAGCCAGGTGGGCGGCGCAGCCAGATCTCCTCGTGCAGGCTGCCCTGCAGGAACGCTGTGCTGAAGTCAAGAGAGTGAAGCTCGTAGTCACGCTGAGCAGCAACGTGCAGCAGAACCCGAAGAGTGGTCATCTTCGGGGTGGGGGAGAAGGTCTGGAAGAAGTCGACCCCCTGACGCTGACTGAAGCCTCTAGCAACGTAACGAGCCTTGAAGACAGGTGGAGAACCTGGCGGCCGCTTCACCCTGAAAATCCACATGCCATCGACGATGTTCGCCCCAGGAGGGGGAACCTCGTCGACGTAGGTGCCTGTGGACTTCCAGGATGCCATCTCTGCGTCCATGGCTGTCTGCCACTGAGAGGAGTAGGGACCCGAGATCGCCTCTGCGTAAGTGCGCGGAGTGGGGATGTCTAGTGCATCCGGGTCTCCCTCAGGGGCAAGCAACCAGGCCACGAGATGAGGTACAGCAGCCGCGAGAGAGTCAAAGTCCTCCTGCCTGTCCTCAAGGACGTCCGTGCCAAGAGCACACTCACCCCCGACGGACGGAGGACAGACAGACTCAGACTCAGCAACAAGACTGGCGGCGTAGTCGAGGCGACAGGCAGCAGCAAAGTCGACAAGCTCAGCGACCAGGGCAGACGCAGCAGAAGACTCAAACGACGGGTCAGTGACAACAGTGGCGAGAAGACGCGTGACAGTAGGGTGGGCAGCACGAACAC